GTTTAGTCACTGTTTCACTTTCTATCATAAGTATTTCTTTTGCTGATATCTATATTTATTTTTCGCATACTAGGGTTGTGATAGATACTTATTTAAGCAATAAGATAAAATTAAAATAATCAAACTCCTCTTTATTTTATTTTATACTAATATCAATTTGAAATGAAGCGTTTTTTTTTGTAAGAATAAATTTAACTTTCTTCTTCGTTGCTCAGACTCAGATATCACACTGTAGAGATTTCATTCTTTACAGTTGTTAATCGAAATCTTAAGATAAGATAAGAACACGGTTCGATAGGTAAAAGTCGTTTTATTTCGATATTTGAAAATAATCTATAAGACACGTTGTTTTCCCCGTGGTTCCGTTTTGTTATTTTGTTCGTGGCGACAAAAAGTTATTTCTAGAACTTACAGTTATCATTTTTTCTTGTTCTGTCAAACAATCATCTATAAGGTCACTCTTCCTTACATTTATTCTTTAATATCGTTGTTGATTGCTCTTACTAAAAAGCACATGTGGTTAACAAAACCAATGAACCAAAACACATAGATAAGTCATGTAAAGAAAAGAGAAAAAGAATGTTATTTTTATCGATTTTATCTATGGACGAAAAATCAACTTAATTTTTAAATACAATCAAAATCTTTATTTACTTATTTATTTTTCAGTATAGAATTAATTATCTTAGATTTTTTCAACTATTTGGATTTCTAATGATTTGTCCAGCGACATCGCTCTTCTTTATGATCAAAATCATGTGCAATTCAGCGATCTATTACAAATGGTGGGTAATTCTATAACTTAATTTGAGATTTTTTAACTTCGAGAAAGATAAAATAATAAGTGTGAGTTGTTTATTAACTTAAAACTGATTTAATAAATGATATAGTCATCAAATCTTCGCCTTATATTCTAATAATTGCTGAATGATCATTAAAATAAAAAGAGATAATGATGGTTATTCATTTCATATTTTTATTCTAAACGCTTGTTTATCTAAGTTTTATAATAAAAAAACAAGTGTGAGTAAAGATAAATGTAAATATGATATATTTGAAAGGATCTATTCTAGTATCAGATCCATCTTTTTCGTTTCAAGCGCATCATTTGTAGAATTTCCTTTTCTCTTTCGAAATGAATTCAGTATTGATTTATCTGCGCACATATGTCGACCTTTTCATATTGTATAGAAATCAAAGATAAAGAAATGATTATTTATTTTTAATATATACTTTAAGAAAATATTTCTAATTAATTATTTGTTCATAGATTATATCTACAGTCAATTCTACAATTCCTGATCTGCCAAATGAAAAATAACTTCGACATATGATGATACAAGTGATCAAAGATAATGAAAAAGTTATTGGAATTTTCACTTAAATAAAATAAATTATTAGTGTTACACGAAATATTACGCAAGATTTTTTTAAATTTCTAATTCTCTTAAGATATTAAAGATTGAACTGAAACGTTAATCATTCTATTCAACTATTGTTCATATTATCTCCATTAGAAAATAAATCCTATAAAAATCTCCGTCGAGTTTCATAGTCACATTCTTATGTCATGAAAACGTGTTCAATCATTGATTTTAGTAATCAATTATGAACTACAAACTAATTATTTAAGAATTTATAAATTGAAAAGTGAAATATAATCAGAGACATTTAAAACAAAAAAAAGATTAGTTTTGTCATGAATATGACTACTATGACATGAGTGACATTGGATAATTTAAAAAATGATCGTACTATAAGCGTCGTCATCATAATCATTCGTTTCAAAACGTTTCTTTACGATAAGGTGTAGTTTATTTTATATGATTCTATATTAATCCATAACTCTACCTCTCACTTATGTGTTTTTCATTCCTTTTTCAAGATTTTTAATTAACGAGCGATGATAAGTAAGCATAGAAGCCTTTCAGAAATAAACAAATACAAATCATCGATTTTAGAGAATTTTTTAATCTTTTTTTCGAATATATTTTTTCCTCACTGTATCAAATTGCATGTAGAGTTCTTATTTATCGATTTAGTTACATAATTTCTATGTATAAATTAATGTGAACTTACATTTTATAATAAAAACATAGATCCACTAATTAAATAAGTAATAAGATCTTCTAAATTTAACAGTAAAATAAAAGTTCACGTGTAAATAACCTCATAGTTTGCCGCGAAAAATGAGGAAGAAAATCATTGGCGATTAATTACTGATTTTGAGTATATGAAATAATTTTCCTACAACTAATGTCAATTATAATTGACAGAAAAATTTCTTATTACACAAACAAGATTAAAGATTCAGATTAAAAATCTGGTGAAAAAATTCAGCATTAGGTGTGTTGTGAACTAATCAATATGATTTAGGCTCAAATTTTTAAACTCGATCCTTAAAAAAATATCTCATATATTAGATAATTCAAGAGTAATAATTAGAAAAAATGAAACATATTTTCCTTTAGTATAATATTGTACAATGATATTAACAATGAGATGAAAAGTTTTTCATAAAACAATATAAGAATAATCGAAAAAACTTTTCGTCTAAGATTTAATATTTTTATTGAGCTTTTCTTTTATTTGAAAATATTCTTCGAACTTATATCAAATATATTGATCATTCTTATCATTGATTTATGCTCGTTCTATTTAGTTTTATATCGAAATATCGAAGAACTCGTTAGAAAATCATAATTTTCTTTTAATATGAATGTTAAATAGACAGTAAAGACAATATTTTTCATCCTCCAGCGATTAACTATCAATATAATATCAACAATTGCTCATTATCTCTTATCAAATAAATCAAACACTAAAAATCTTCATATCGAGTTTATGACATTAAAGTTCATGATGATAGTGATAGATCAAATATTTCTATCGACATAATCAATCATTACATATAGTTATATTCAATTTCATCTATTTTCTTAAATAAACTAGGGAAATATAGGAAATATTTCGATAAATCAATTGAACGAATACAGTTCTATGTTTAAATAACGGCGATCAGTATTTCAAACATTTAGTTAAACGAATATTTGTTAAATTTTTTTCCTGAATAATTCTTATCGAAATTATTAAAAGAGAAGACAAAAATTAAGAAGAGAAAACAAACACATCTTGAGGGTGTGGATGAGCATGAATTGTGCATAATATTCACATCCATACCTTTTTTGAGGATGTGAGTGTGGGTATGATCTTTGAAGAAGATGATACTCACACCCACATCCATTTATTTTATATTATCTTTTCTACAGTCCAGGGAACAAGCCTATTAATTCTATTTATCATTTGAGGATGTATCGATAAAATAAAGGAGTGATTAGAGTACTATCATAGCAGCAGATGTATGAAAACACTTCCAATTTCATGATTGAATAATTTTTCTAGTGTTCATATGACATTTCAATCTGTTATATCCCAAATATTGACTATTCTTATAGGTTGACCAATCATTATTTTAATTTTAATAAAGAGACCTATTTTTCATAGAATTACAAATAAGATTAAGTGTGTAGGTAATAATCATCGAAAAAATGTCTGAATCTTTTGTAAGATACAGAAACTAGTTTATATATAACAAGAATATCTGTCTCGTTTGTCACTGAATGAGAATTCATACTATAACTCTATAAATTTTATTTCACGGAATAAATCAATTAAAACAAAAAAAAATAAATATATAAATGTTAATTATTTGAAAGATCATCTTTCAAACTCAATAAACGCAGTTTTTCTTCAGCAATATTTTCAACCATATTCCAATGTCTCTTTACATTTAAACCATCACCCATTCTTTGAATCATATCCAATATACTTTTAACTAAAGAAACATATCTTAAAATACCTTCTTTATAACCATATTGATAAATTAAATATTTCCAAAGCATAGTTACAATTAAATTCTCAATATGTAATAATATCTGTGGATTAAATACAATATGAATATTTTCTAAATGATCTATTGAAATAATTGTACAATTACTTGAGAATATCATAAGAATGGAGATGATTTTAATTAGTATTCCATTCTCATCTAAACGACGACTTGCTTGAATAGCTCGTTTTGATTGACCATTTCCATACATATCATCAATTAAATTTGAATATGATTCATTTTCAAATGCATTCATTTCTTTACTTATAAAGAGTGCATTAAAACTTCCAATAGAACCTAAATTACGTTTGATTAATATTTTTTGAATAGTAACAGGCAAAGAATAAAATAGAGGACAACGTTCAATAAATGTATATAATGTTGAATATATTGATCCAATATAATTAAAAATTTTTGAGTCTTTACAACGAATTTTCGGTGGTAAAGAAAATTGATTTTTAAAAAAATCTTTCGTTTGTATAAGTAAATTTTGTTCATCATAAGTATTAATGATATTCGATAAAAGATTCCATTCATCTAATGTTAACATTGAACGATCGTTATCAAGAATACCAATAGTTGTTAACTGAAAAATATTACACAAAGAAAAAAAAATAATAAATCAACTATTGAATTTAAATAAACCTTTGGTAATCGTATATTATTATTATATTGTCGTTGAGAATGACGAATTAGTTGTGGATCCATTCCAACTTTAAAACAAAGTTTTAATCGACAAGGTGCACAGAATTTTCGTGTTGTTTGTGTTATTTTACATTTACCACCAAAATGACATTGTTGTCCTAACTAAATAGATAAATTTTCAAGGAGTTTATTTTTATTAAAAATTAATTATCTTACTAATCCTGATTCTGCATGTCGTCGGAAAAACATCTTACAAGACATACATGATGCAGCAGAAAAATTGACACCACGAGCAATATCACCACATATACTACACATTAATGGATATGAAAGTTTTTGTTTGATTCTTGAATTCTTTAACGTCATCATTACAGTCATATACACTAAGAAGATTTTTTCTAAAAAGTTTAAATTTCTGAAGAAGAAAAAGAAATCAACATTTTATTTATATATCAATTTTAAACTAAGATTATGAAACACTGGAATTCTGAAAGTAATTTATATAATAGGATAAATGTTTTTATCCAGTAAAGTTTCCGGGTAAAAGAACGTTTCTTTTATGTCATATTAATTTTACAAGAAACTTCCGTATATCTTACATACAATGAAAAATGAGAATATTGTAATAATAAACTATTCATTTAATCTAGAATTTTCATCAGTATCGTATAGATGATTAGGTCATATAACGATGCGAGGAAAGTTTAATAAAATAACTCTCTTCTTCTTAAGAGATATTTATTAAATTTCTCATGTTTAATATGAGTATGATTACTTATCCTGAAAATATTTACTGAAGAAACTAACACTTATCTTGTACAACAGTAGAACTTTCTGAAAATGATAGAAAACAATTTTATGAAAGATTTTATTCTACTTTATAGAGTTCTTCTTTCAATTACATGATAAAATAATGTTGACGCATAAATTAATATTATGATAGCACATATCATTTCTCTTATATTTGAACAAGAACAACAAAATTAAAGCGCATTAAATCCACAATGGAACGAAGCATGTCATTTTTCAAGTGTTATATTACAATTTACTGACTTCAATCTTTCTGGTTCTATATGTGGTCGAGGGAACGGATATGAGTAAAATAAATATTGAATAAAATTATAGAAAACATTTTCCTGCTAATATTTTTTTATGATCTGTCAAAAATCAGTCTAAATCTCAACTATAGGGAAGTAAGTTGTATAAAAAAATAATAAATGCGCATTATAAAGTTAACAGTTACCATCTTTATAGTGTATGTAGCAAAAGCAACTGAATCGGAAAAAAAACTCACTCAGTTAAAAAATAAGATTATGTGTCTATATATATATATATAAAATAATCTTTAATGCAAAATGAACCCATTTACTGAGTAATTATCAAAATACAATAAGAGTGAAATCTTTTTTTAGCTACGTAAGAAACAAGTTAATATTTAAAAAGCTGCTTTAATAGAATAAGATTCAATTTTCTAATTATAGATGAGTTTGTCAATATTATTATCGTCGTATGTCTGAGAATGACAAGTTTATTACTCGAATTTCTTAAATTCTACCATGACCTAACCATCTATCTTATAATAATATAAATGAGTTAAAAACTCTTTGAACGTAAAGAGCCTGTTTTTTTTCTCTTCATAATATTATTCAAAAGTATGTTGCGAAGCACTTTATCATAAACATTTTTTCTTCAAACCATCAACATATTCAAAAATGTTCCATATATAATTTTAAATGATATCATAAAAGCTTTTGCATAGACTTTCACATATATACTCATCTCAATATTCAAGATTTTGATTAAATGAGAGTAGATGTATAGAATACAGTACATATATCGTAAAAATCTAAAGAAAGACTTCCTCATACACTTCAGGTTTGTTTAATCTTTAAAAACCTGTCTAAAATATATTGTATTAAGAGAGCAATGGCGGATCTAGGATTTTGAAACGGGGAGGCGATTTTGTTTTTTTGGGTATGGAGGGGCGATCCCTGGGAAGGGGGTCGATTTTGGTTAAAAGCTATTTTTTTAGTCCAACCAAAGTAGTGTGAATCTATTTTTTCGTTCATTTTTGCTGTAAAAAATCAAAAGAAATCCGGAAGGGGTGGGGGCGATCGCACCATCTAAATCCGCCACTATAAGAGAGCAAATAGACTATATCTTTAATACAATAATTATCATATTCTTTTCATAAACATAATGTACTACTCAAATTTTTCAAAATCTTACAAAGTATGATAAATTTTAAGTATCTTTTTATCATGCGATCAACACCTGTCAAGATTAAAGTCATTGTTTAGATTTATTTATCATGTATATCTACAAAAAAAACATTCTTTGGCCTTAGATGATTTGTAATTAAATATTTTATATATCACACATTATGAATTGAACAATATCATAAAACCATTAAAAAATAGATAGTTTTATTATAGAAATCATGTAACTTTTTAAATATATTGACAAAGTTTGAAGTAATGATTTACTTTTATAACAGCTACTCTGCTGATGATATGAGATTATTCAAAAATAAATAGAAAAGTATAATCATATACAACGCATTTCTATTCATTAAAAACTATTACAAGATCATCTCTGTAAATAAAAAAAAATCAACTTAGTAACTCCTTAAATCTGAAGTTTTTCTAATTAATAAGAACGACATAATGATGAATAACATGCATTATTGTTTTATCAGCAGATTATATAGCTATTATTTAAAAAAGCAAAAGCTAATTTTAATAAATATAATGAAGAATATTTCTTTTAACATCATGTCATCTCATCCTTTCATTATTTACAAGAACTTTTCCACAATTACTATCTATTGATCAAAGCACGGATAGAAGTGAAAACAATTGAAGATCTCGTAATTATAATCTATATATCTATTATAAACTAAAATGAAACTAATACCATAAGAAAATTTATTTGGTTTTCAATCATAGAATTCTTTATAAAAATAGTAGTACTCTAACGTTAATGACAGCAAGTTTCGAACACGTATGAGACAGTTATAAGACATGCTCAAGTATATCATTATTAAAAATTGATCTTTTTATAATTACTGATATAATAGATGCGTCCTTTTGAACTTTGCTGTAAGTCCACACCTAATCCTTGAGTTTAGTAAGCAAGAGTTGAAAAAAACATTCAAGTGGAAACTATGACTACGGTTTATTCGTATGCATTGTAAAAATGCATGAATGAAACATAATCGCGTTTCTTGCCTGCTTAGGTTTAGTATTTTGTTAAAAACATACTTATTCTTTATAATCAATGCAACATTTAATTCTTCCATTCTCCAACTATAAAGAAAATCTTGTACTTACTTTTGAATAGCGTAAAACAATCTATCAATATCAAATTTTTATTTGAACTGGAATCTTTTCATAAGTCGTTTCATAAATTAATGTTTAGCGATTTTTAAATTATGCTTTTCTATTTATCACGAGATGTTATTAATCCTCGCTATGGTAATTATGAAATAGATTCTATTTATTCATACAGGATATTAAAGAAATAATAGTCCACCTATTAATTTGAGAATTAAATTCACGAGGGTAAATATAAAAAAGAGCTACAAGCGCTATCATTTTAAAACTATTTATGAAGAAAATATTTTGTTTTTCTTAATTGAATTTATATGGCTTTGTTTATTAAATCATAAAATAAGAAATAAATTTGTATATCTCTTTTGGAATAATCAGCATTTTTTCATATAAATATTGCACGTTCATGAATATTTAATGATAAATCATAATAGTTGTGGAGTTGTATTTTGGTTATATGAATAACCGTGGAACATGCATAAATAAACCAAAAATAAAACGTTTTTTTCTAATACAGAACCATAACAACAAGCATATTTTCCATTAATTTTATAAAATTATGTATTACAAGACAAAATAAATAAATGTTGATCGATGAAATCGTTCAATTAATTACTACTAATGATTGATCGATATTTTCTACACATACATCAATCAAATCTTCATGTTGACGATCACGTCCTATTTCAATCCATCGAATAATATTTAAGATGAATATAACATAAGAACTAAAACATTTTACAGCGCCCGAAAATCCATATTGATAATTCAAATATTTCCATAACATTGTTACTAATGTATTTTCTATATGAATTAAAGAATTAATATTTGTAACTGTTGTCATATATTTCATATCATCTGGATTAACGATTGAACAACTGTTGGAAAACCCAATTACTAAAAGCATTATTTTGAAAAGTACTCCATTATTTTCCAATAATGAAATAAATTTCTTTAATCTAGGAACGTTTTCATGACCATAAAGATTCGAAGAACCGAATAAATAAGCTGGATAAGTTAAGGCATTTGATTCACGTACAATAAATAGTGAATTATATGCTCCTGCTATCTCACTATTTCGTTGTAAAAGTGTTTGACGTACATCTATTGATAAATCTTGAAAATAAGATGTACGTTCAATAAATGATTGAACTGTTGTATAGAAAAAACCAATGATATCCATTGTTGTTATTGATTTTATCCGAAGTTTTGGTGGTAAGATTGATTGCTGTTGAAGCATAAATTTTGTGTGTTCTATGGCATTTCCTTGATCGTATGCATGAATAACATTTGATAAAAGATTCCATTCACTATTTGATAGAGTTGATGCATCATTTTGTAGAAGATTTAATGGTAATGGCTAAAACAAATAAGAACAATTTATTAGGACAAAAAAATTATAAATGAAAAAAGTAAACCGTTGGTAATAGTGATGGCTTCTTTTTCACGCATTGACGATTGATTTGTAATGAATGCCTGATTAGCTTCGGATTCATACCAAGTGTAAAGCATTTTTTTAGACGACAAGCTGAGCAACCACTGCGTGTAAATTGTGTTATATCACAATTATCATCTAATTGACAATGTACATGATTCTAATCAAAAATTTAAAAAAAAAACATTTTTTTTCTCGAAAGTTTTTGTCGTTAAAACATACTGCAGGTTGTAATGCATGACGTCGAAAGAAAGCTTTACATGACATACATGTTATTACTTCAAAATTGATACCACGTGCTCTATCACCACATATTTGACAAATCAATGGTATATTAGATGTACGTTTTGTTAATACCATTATTTGAATTTATTAATCTACAGAAAGATAATAATCTATTTCATATTTATTACGAATATCTACTTGTTTTACAAAAGAGTCTAATAAAATGCGCTGATGTAACAGAAAGAATGAGATAGATGTTTTTTTTCTTCTTCTTCTTTCCTCTACTATCAAATAAAGTTGCTGACGTGTGTCAGTTCAGTACTAATAAGTACGTGTGACCTCTCTGTTTACAAGTTTAAAAGAGAATATATTGAGCCTATTTTTAATATTAAAAATAGAGGAATATCAACATTTTGAATGCTATTTTATTAAGAAATTAATTAACTCGTATTCTATACACTATTATAAACAAAATGAAGATTTCTACAATCAACAAAACGTTGATTTAACGTATAAAAGTGCATTTACATGACACTGTAAAGTAGAATCTGCCATCTGTTGATTATGTAACTAACAAAATTTCTTAGAAAGAATTGTGAATACTACATGTCTAATTATCATTTTCTAAGGACAGAAGTATTCTTTTCCGCAAGACATAATTACAAAATATATAGTTAATATGTTTAGATATTCTACTCTATTAATACTGAATTTAAAAAGAAAAAAAAAAGAAAGATCTTACGTGTTACTTTTTTTTTTAATGTTCTGAATTAGAAAAAAACAATGTAATAAATCTCTTTGAAAAGACAATAAAAAAATCAATTCACTAAGTGATCAAATTTAAGTATCATCGGTTGATTTATCAATGCACCTAAAATATAAATAAAAATCTAGATAAAAAACTAATTTAGAAATTATTAAATTCCTACCAAAAGAAAAACAATTTCCACCACCACCTAATATAAGAAATGTTGTTTTATTCAAAAGTACTGTTTGATGATTATAGAGTATAATTGGATGTTCAACACACATTGTCTAAATAAAATAATCTATTAATTTTCATACATATTTAAAATATTATATTACCGGTATTGTATACTCAATAGCATCACCAGTTAGTAAATTAATTTTACATAAACCTGGTGGTCTACGTTCAAGAGCATTTATTCCTCCTAATAACCAAAGTGTATCATCAATAATGTCAGCACTATGTGAATATCTAAAGAAGAAATAAAAACGATCTAGAAATTTTGTTTTTTTTGAATAATTAAAAGATTTTACCTAGGAATAATTGTTCCATTTGTTTGAAATAATGTCCATGTCATTATTTCTTTACTTGTATCTAATAGCCAAATTTCATTTGTTGGTTCCTCATTTTCTAATAAACCACCGGTAAGTACAGCAAAATGTTTATAAGTATTTAAACGAGCTGAATTTCGATTTGTTGGTTTAATTTGTGAAAACTACGAAGAGAAATAATTATACAGAATTTTCTTATTAAGTAAAAAAAAACAAATAGTCAGTACTTGCGAAGGAATGAGTTCACCATTAGATTGCAAACATAATGTATCATTTGTTGATTTCGACATATTTATTTTTCCACCAAATATAATTATTTTATCTGTTTGTTTTATATAACAAGAACAATGACGCCAACGTCGAAGAATTTTTTCATCTTCATTAAAATTCAATGTTTGAAGACCTAATAAAACAAAATGAAAACAAAAAAATGTATTTTTTAATAAGAAAAAAAAACTAACTTACTATTAATATCAATGGAAGTACAAGAATTTAATATTCCTGGGCTTTTACGACCGAAAAAAGCTAAGATTAAATTGTCCGATGCTTGACATGTATGAAAAACACATTCACCTATAATTTAAGGAAAAATTTATGTAGTAAAAATTATATCTACATAATATCTAGCGTCATATTATTAATTGTTACTATTTTCTGATGATCAAATCTCATTAAAGATCCTATGAATGAAACCACAACAGATTAAATTTCAGTTTTGTATCAAATATTACACCCTACTCACTAATAGAAGTTTTCACGTAAGTATTTATACATAACTACGCATTATTCTTACCGAGCAAATGATTATCTAATCTTTGAATATGTCCATTATCAATATTTAATACTTCAATAGTTTTCAATCTTCTATGTCTTCCATCTACAGTTCCAAAACCTCCTATAGTCCAAACATATTTCTCATTAATTAATATTGATTGATGTCCAAAACGTTGTGCATAAGTCATTGTTGTTGGATAAACTTCAAATTGTGTATCAACTTTAAATTGCTCATCAATCAAATTATTATTGGAAATTACAGTATCTTTTTTCGAATGAATAATCGATTTACAATCGTTAGTCATTTGTTCAAACCATTGTTTTGATATATTTGATGATGTTCTTAAACCAAATAATAATATATAATGAGCACATTTTGATTGCCATTCTTCAATTTCATCGAATGGTTCCAATGTCTCTATACGATCATGTTCATCAGATGATAAATAATTGCGGTAGAAATCATGCATATTCACACAAAATGAAAGATCAAAACCCTTAAAAAAATATAAAGATTTTTTAAAACTTCAGTCAAAGCCGACTATAAATTTCATAGTAAAGTTTTACTCAGGAATGAGACATATGTAGGTTGGTAGAGGAAAATTTTCTCTATCAAATGGTATATATACCATCGAATTCTATTGAGTACCGTAAAAATCGATTTTTGGCTTGAACGCAAGCCAGTTAGAGACAGGCATCCAACTTTCTTTTGTGTCCGGAAACCTCAATAAAACATTGATTTAAATCCTCATAATACACCAGTTTGTAGAGAAAACATCAGAGAACAAAACCTTCACCTCAAAAAAAATTTAATGTAAAAAATGAATTATAGGCAAGAGATTTAGTTGACTCCGATTAGGGAACTGCAAAATCACTTTTTTTGGTCCCGGTCCCGGCCTTGATAAAAGTTTAAGAATAATTCTGGTTTTGTCTTCAACTATGCAAAAAAAAGTATGAAGTTCACGAAAATTCTCGCTTTTTCGATTGTAAATTCAATCTATACGGTTTTTCTTGAACTATAAAATAACACATTTGTCAATTTTTAATTAAAGAAAAAAAAAGAAATAAGAAAATGTCTGGTCTCATACTTGATAAAAACATTAAGGAATTATCTGACAATTTTCGTCTTGGTCCCGGTCTCGGTAACTTAGAGAAATTTTGTCGCGGGACCGGGACCACTTTGCAGTTCCCTAACTTCGATACAGGTTTTTAATTAGCTTGAATTAAAGCCAAAAATCGATTTTTACGATACTTAACAGAATTCGATAGAGAAAATTTTTCTCTACAAACATACATGTCTCTCATTCCTGGGTCAAAGATTTCTAGTCGCCTTTTATTTATCTTACTAAATGAGTATAACGTTGAACTTGAGATTCACTTGTTGGATATTGATGAATACATTTTAATGGTGAACCTAATTTAGCAAAATGTGCAACCATTACTTGACCAAAACCATCATCTGGTAAAATCTATAAAATAAAAAAATATTGAGAATTAATTATTTAGAAAAGAAAAAGAAAAAAAACCTGTTCATAAGTGCATAAAATACATTCTTGAAAAAAATCAAGTATCCATTGTATGACACGATTACAACTCGAACGTCCCATATAAGTTAAAACAACTTCACTTATTAATAAAGTTGGTTTAGTTTCATCAACTTTAACTGATTGTAAAAGTGTATTTAATGTTAATGAATCACGCATATCAACACCAATTAATGAATATTTTTCATTAGTTACAGCTAAAAGAAAGCATTAGAAAAAAACAAGAATAATTTACTAAATCTAATTACCAAAATTATCTAGTGAACTAAAGGTATGCATTGGTTCAAATTGTTCATGTAAACGTGATCGAACTTCTATCAATGCTAATTTACGTTGCATTACTTCAGGAAAATCAATCTGAAGAAGAAAACAAAATCAAGTCAAAATATTTATATTAAAAAGACTTACATCGATAAAATGTGTACGTTGTTTTCGTTCTTCATCTAATCGAAACCAAGTTGCATCAAATCCAGCACCTAAATTAACGATCTACATCGAAAAATTTTAATGTAGTCGATTTTATTTTTTAGAATATTTGATGATAATTCAGAAGATTAAATTAAAAAATCCTTTTTTTTTGACATGTGATTAGTAGTTGTCGAGGAATCATTATGACCTTTTTAAATTTCTAGGTCAAGCCTTGTCTAGTCTCGAGGAAGTATTAGAACTTTTTGTTCCCTAAGAAACGTAGTTATATTTAGTTCCATTACGTGACAAAATCTTGTAACTACTATTTATAACTGATTCCTGTCTTCTTGATTAGTAATGCTCGAAACAATTCATTATCTAGTGTAAAAGTATAATTGTTCTTTTCTCAATTGATAAACTTCATATCTTGATATTTGTAACGTAAGGATGTTTACGAAAAAAATTACCTGTACTTCCATCTGATCATAGACACTATAAAACGTATTCAGAGCATATTCTAATGCTTTCATTCGAATATAATATCCTCTACCAATGAAACAAAAAACATTGTTTTTTTCTATATAAAATTATTTTGATTTACAAACCGATTTATTGATGGTGATCGTCTTACATCTTTATCAACAAATTCTCGAAGAAATAAATCCTCAAAATATCCTAGTTTAACCATTGATACTTTTGATAATATACTTGAATCGTTTGTGCCTTGCACCTTGAAAAGAAAAAAAAGAAACTCATTCAAAATATTTATTCTTATTTTTTTCAATAAAAATCTTACAGCAACATCATTTCTTGCTTTTCGACTTTTTCTTTGATTAATACGGAAAGCTTCTTCCATCTAGAAAAACCAAGAAAGACAAAAAAAAGGGGGAGAAAAAAACAATCTAAATACACAAGACGACAATAATGATGAAAAAAAAACAATCAAATAACAGCACAAACGAAACATTGATGTTTTTTTCTTTAAACAGGACTAATAAATAAGAAAAAAGCAAAGGAAATATATGTCTGTCTATGTGCACGCATAAATAATAATAAAAACCAAGTCTAATTTAGACTAGACTGTTGATATATATATATATATAATAATAATAATAATATGAATAATGTGTTTAAAGTCGAGTCCAAAATTGAATGTGTCTGTGTTTTATTAATCATTCACACCTTTTGTCGTTTACGATGTACAACAGAAGCTGTTGTTGAATCAACAGATTTATCACTTTCAATAATACGTATACGAACTAATGCAATTTCTTGTCCATTCATTGTTTCCATCGCGGTATCAGCACTACGTTCATCACTGAACATAACATAACATAATTGAGGATTTACCATACGAACATCTATTAAATTTCCAAAACGATTAAATACATCACGAATATAATCTTCAGATACAGGCCGTTGAGGCATTATTTGTAGAGTTTTAGCAACCTAAAATAATAAGAGATTATTATAGACTTAAATTTTGAAATATAGTACTTACTGGTGCATCGAATGAAGCATATTTTTGTTTGGATGGCAATGGAATATTACAATAATCTACATATTCTTCTTGACTTCCTTGTAAATTACTCATCTTAAACGAATAAAAGAAATATAGATAGTAAAATTTTAATAAATCGAATTCAGTTTTAAAAATACTTGATGAATTAATTGACCAATACCAGATGTATCTCCGTATTTTCCATTTTGTGTTTGATGAATCAAATCATTGACAATTCTGCAAATTCGAAATGAATTCATTTATAATTAGATTTATTGATTCTTACTTTTCATCATAATATTGTACGGATAAAATTTCACCATCCGGAAATTGAAATGCATGCAGTTTTTCACGTGCATATGTAGCAAATTGACAAGTTTTGTAACGTACAATAAAATAATCTAAGAAAATAAATCATTTCATTATATACTTTAAATAATTACTCCTAACTATCTATTTACTATCCTAAAAAGTAGATTATGAATATAACTTCATCATTATTGAAGTCTTACTCAATTCTATTTCGATATACTTTGAGATCATTTAATCAAATATGCTAATAGCATCAATGAGTCAGCTCCGATCGTTATTTAAATAATTGCAATATTTAGTCTTTTGAGTCTTGGTAATGTATATATTGGAAGACTATCCACAAGAGAATTCCTACTCTTTCTAACTGCTCGATATGTTCTTCGGTCTATTTCACAATCAAAACAGTCTCGAAGAGAAAATGTATGTATTGTACGTCGTATAGTATTCGATGTGAGATTTTATATGTCCCAACTGAAATGTACCTTTATGTATTGCTGATTACTCTAGAGACTATTGTACAAAAATATACTTTCTTATAGAAATTCCATTTTTTCAAGAAAAAGTCGGAATTTAAAGGATTAGCATCGTATGCTGATGAATTCCAATTATTGCTGATATAAAAATATAAACATTTGAAGTACATGTTAAAGTTAAGTATGCGAAATACTGTCTTAAATATTTAAATAATAAAATAGTCAGCAAAGAATTAATTCTTGTTTATCTCATCTTTTCTCTTATAACTTACGTTCATTAAAAGTATTTAGAGTAACTGGTGAGCATTCTTCCATATTTGGTACAAGATCAAATAATTTTGATATATGATAATTAGTAATTGTCATTCCACAACGAACAATTAAGCGACGTTCATTATTAATCTCCAGCAAATGATAACTATTACTGACTGGTGAAAGTGTAGATGATTGATCTAAATAGTAAAAGAAGAAAATTTACGTTTAATCAAATCAAAAAAAAAGAATTAAGACAAACTTGAGTCATTATTCGATAATGAACGTGTTGGTAACGGGAGTAGAGGAGGCGGTGATGGTCTATGATCATTTGAATTTGACGATGGTGATGGATGTTGTTTACCCGATGACATTTTTTGTCGATAAGGAGGTGAAACAGCTCCGTAGATTGAAGCTGAAGAAGGTAATGCATCTTCATTATCACGATGACGTTTGGAAGAAAATGGTTCAGCGAATTTTGGTTTATAACCTAGAAGATTTTCTTCATGAATTCAAAATTTTCATTTTTTTTGTCATCTATTAACATACTTGGATCACATTCTTCAAGTGCATAAGCTGCTTCAGATGCTTTTGAAAATGATATATAAGCAAAACCTTTATTTTCACCAGTTAATTTATCAACAATAACTTTGATATTAATTATTGAACCATATTTCTAAATTAAAAATATATTTATTTCAATTTAAAATTTAATTAATAATTACCTGGAAAACTTTACGTAGATCATCTTTTGTCATATGTTTTGGTATAACAACAAATAAACGTAACATTTTTTCATGTTCATCAGGATCTCGTACACTACCTTCACGACGTGAACTTGATATAATAGCCTATTAAAAGAACAAAACTTTTCCATTTTGTTTTTCATCAAACAACAAAATACCGACTTTTAATGGTCGAACATGTGGAGATATGATTGTTCCATTCATTTCTTCCATTGCGCGAGCAGCAGCTGAAGCTTTTTCATATTTAATATATGCAATACCTAACAGACAAGAGATGGGATAGTCAAAATTAAATGTAGAACATTCATACGAACCTTTGCTTTCTTGACTACGTCGATCTCGTACCATATGTATATCTTGAATTGTTCCATGGATTTGAAAAGCATTTCGTAATTCATCTTCAGACATAGCTTTTGGTATAAGTAAAAAGAGTCGACTAAATGGTGGATCATCAACATCAGCTGTTTTATTAAATACGGTTGATAATTGTTGACGTTTATTTTGAGATGATGTTTGCTTATGTGATGATCTATTTGAATCTTCTGATGAAACATCTCGGCTTCGATTCCGATTGTTCATCATGGAATCGATTGTTTTTGCATCTACATACACGAATAACTACTACAATCGATTGAATAATTTTCTGTTCGACAATGATAACTGCCTATGGAAAATTTTTCTTTGAAAGATGGCGCTATTATTCCACTAGTGTTATTATCAAAAAATCTTGCTTGTTGTTGCATTTATCCATTGCATCATATTTATAATTTCTTATTTTTTATAGCCTCAGTGACGTTATTCATTGCATTTACTCTATTAACTTGATATCTATTGTATATGATTGTAAGGTTTTACTTAATTTCAAGTTAAAAATTTACGCTCATCATAAAAAACATAAAAATGATTTTTAATTTATTTCTTTATTTGAATATATAAAATGACATCGAACGACTTTTTTTTGTCTTATTTAAAAAAACTAACTATGCCATGTGCTATATGGTTTTGTTTGTTTGAAGTCTCGATGGAAATATGCTGCTGTCCAACCAATTTCACCTGGATATGCAGCACGTCGAAGTGGTGGATCGATGTTATATCCTCTTGAATTCAAAGATGATAAAAAAAAACATTTTTTCTTCAAAAAATGTATTACCTTGTCAAATAGCCAACATCAAGTGAACGAAGTATAGATGCTTGACCTTCACCAATATCTCCAATATGTCCGCGAGATGGATAACGTTGCATCCATAAAGCGTTAGGACCTTTTCATTAATAAAAAAAGTATTTCTTCTATCAAAATCAAAATAAATTAATAATTCTACCTGAAAAAACACTCTTGGATGTTAAAGGTCTATCAAGAAAGAGATCAGAAGAACTTCGCTTAACCGGTCTTCCTCCCCAATATTCTATTGTTCTCGTTTCTCGTTGTTTTCCACGCGACATTGGAGTATTTCAATCTATTGTGCGTACTTCTGATGAATGCTGTTTTGACAATAACACTCTATTATATTATTTTTCTTTTTGTCTTCAAAACTTTTAAAGAAACAATTTCAATCACCAATAACAACATATTTTCTTTTGATGGCACGTGAATTTTATAGGATTAAAATCACATGTTTTGAAAAACATCTGACAAATTGTTCGTAAGGACTTTTGAAGTTTTTTTTCTCATTCGGTCATATTTATTTATTTTAAATAAAATTTTAACAAAGAAAAAAAAAGATCTTTCCTTTGTTTTGTTTTTTAAACAAATGGTTCAATATTTAACTCAATAACCGAACAAGGTAATTTCAGACCAAACTGTTCAATAACATTTGGATGAAGAACACCGATAGTACCGCGCTTTTCACCACGTACAATAATTTCTGCATGTCGACCGGGAAAAAATGCGCTATCTAAAATCAACACATAATTAAAATATTTATATTTTCTTTGATTTTACCTTCGCATTGATTGTTTAAATAATAACCTATATCATTACTTTTAGTATCATTATAAGAAATTTTAACTAATGTCATAATTCGATCGAGTAAACCATGAATTATTTCAAAGCCGGGTGATCGATTGTAATAGACTGCACATAAACGTCGTTCATTTCTACTACCAATTTCTATATTAATAATAGATATTTTTGTTTTGTAAGTTAAAAGCATTACAAACCTCTTGTTAAATCTTTGAGAATAACATCAGATACTTCGAAAAGTTGAATTGGTAATGCAGTACCTTGATTATTCGCGATAGTTTTTAATAAACCTGGTAATAGTGATGTTCGACCAATCTGAAATTAAATGATAGTTAGGAGGAATTCGAAAGATTTAGCTTCGTTTTTACTTGAAAATCTTGTGTTTTCGGATTTGCAATATGTACTGCAGGAATATTTTCAATATTTTTTCCAAATTTCTCTGCTACATCTGCACACGAACATAATGTAAATGTTAATGCTTCTGTGAAACCACTTTCAGCTACTGAATGTCTTATAAGATCAGATACTCTATTAAGTTCAAACTAAAATAAGAAATACAACAACTGTTTTTTTTCGTCTGAGAAACATTTTTACTTGATTTCCAATACAACTGGTCTTTGGAACTGTTTTATTTATATTATTAAATCCATACGCTATTGCACAATCTTCGACTATGTCACAAAAATGTAAAATATCAGATCGTGTTACAGGTATATTAACACGAAGTGTATCCGAATCAAGAATTTCCGTTCGAAGACTCATTCGATTCAATAAAGTTGCTGCAGTTTCAACATCAACTCTAGCAAAAAAATGTACATAATTTAATTTGTACAATAAGTCAAATTTTAACATACTGAATTCCAATACGTTGATTCATCTTTTTCACTGAAACATTTTCAGTTCGATCATTTAAATTCTAAAAAAATTCTTTCAATATATTCAATAAAAATATAAATTAATCAACATACGGGATATAATATTACTGTTCCATCTACTTGTTCTACTTCAACAGGTTCAATTCTATATTAAATAAATAATTAAATTGTATATAAAAACAAAATTCAATGATTTACTCGAATGGTTTACTACAATATTGAGCAAACATAGTTAATATTATGTTAAGTACAACATTTGCTTTATGTAAATCCACTGCAGTACATTCAATAAAAACATTTTTTGTATTCACACTCATTTTACTATGATCACCGTTAATAATTGGTGGAAGTGAAAGAACAACATTATTCGAATCATATATAACCGGATAAACATCAGAATCTTGAATAATTGATACATAACGTTTAAGATGAGAATCTTTGGAATAAAATTCAAGCATTTCATCGGCTTGCATTTCATTCTGTTGTTTTAATGAACGGAATTTAATTTGTTTCGGTTGTTGAGCATCATAAATAAATGGAGGTTGAATTGTATCAAGATCATGTGTACCAATAGCAACTAATGTTCGATTTCGACATAAATTTTGATGAAGTTTATCTTGTAATTCTATAAAACTGTTATAACTTTCAGCATTGAATGTAACATTACGAAGAACAGCACAAACAACTATTGGGCGAATACGCTGAGTCTGTGAAGACAAGAAAAAAGGAAATCATTTTAAGAAATAATATAATCCTACATTTGGTAAAATTTTCATTCGAATTGGTTTTTGATTTTCATTAAATTTCGATAAATGAAATTTTGGTAGTTCATCCCTGAAATAAAGAGAAAATTATGTTTTAAAAAATATAAAACGAATTTTACTTTTGTAAAAAGATTTTTAATGCACGACTTATCCCTTCCAAACAAAGCATATCATAACTAAAAATAGAGATTATATTCGAGATTAAACTATTTATTAATTAAATATACCGATTTGCTGGTATATCGATTTTATATTCGACATCTTTACCCTTGCTTTCGGGTATTGGTTCCTGAAAATAGAGAAAATTAAAATTTTAAAAAGTCTGAATGTGTTTCGATAGATTGTAGATAATAACAAAAGCTCAGTAATTCCTGTTGGTTTATAATCGATTTTAACGAACTTCCGTTCTTTTTCTACATACTTGAACATTAATGTGGGCGCATGAAATTGAAGAGTCTCTTAACAACACTTCTATTTCTAGATGATGATAATTGACATAAAGAGTTGATATCTATACTTACAATTTTATCTAATTCTATTCCATAATCAAAACATAATTGATCAAATTCTTCGTCAGCTAGAAATCGAATTGATTTTTCATTATTTAATGAAATGAAAAAGAAATTTACTAAATTCTTGTCCAAGTGCATTGAAAAGTAAACTTCGTTTAACACCAATCGTAGGCATCTAGAAGAAAATGGAATAAAAATAAAAATAAATAAATGATCATAACTAGAAAAAAACGAAAGAAAGGAACTTAATGGAATTTTACAATTAAACACTGGAAATATAGATTAATTAAATATCACTATAAAATTTTTGAAGAGATTCCTGTAACGAATTAATCTGACTACAACTGCCTACTTAAGAGAAGATTTATCAAAAACAAAAAAAAATAAAATAAATAAATAAATAAATATATATATGTATATCACTATTTGTTAGAATTGTCCAATGAATGTAGAAGTTTTTCAACAAAATATTCAATAACACGATAGATTAATTCATATTGCCGTTCAGTTTGAACAAGACCTATTAAGAAAATAAAGAAAATTTCTCTTAAGTGAGACAATAAAATTTACCTGATCTTTGTGAACGAATATATTTAACTAAATTTGGAATATCTATTTCAATATCAAGTCCTTCAGTACGAATTCTATTTAATATTATATCGATTGTAATTGTTGCACCTGAACGACCAATACCAGCACTACAATGAACGATCATTGGAGATGTATTCATATCATTTCCGAGTGGACTTGAACGATAAATTTTTTCAAAAAAATCCAGAAGTACATTCAATTGAGTATTATCACGTTGATTTGTAATAAGTGGAGCATCTTTAAAACAAAACAAATCAGTATTACTTTCAATTAAAATAATTTCTATTACCATGATCACCCCATGCTAAATATTGCCAATGAAAAATTTCCCATGTTCGTCGATCTTCTGTTATTATTCTTAATATATGTAAACGAAAACAACAATCATCATCAATTGATGCTGGTGGCATTAACGAACGATGTGTACGTGAAGTATTAGTCAATACTTGCGATGGACCATAATTTGCTTCATGAATATTTTCAACAATTATTGAACCATATTGTTTTGTTGTATGTAAATCAGGCCAGTAACGTGCACACTTATTCTATCAAGTTATAAAAAACAAAATATTCTTTTCAAGAGAAAAATTTAATAGTATACCTTCATGCCTTCTGTTTCTCGTGTAATCATCACAATACATTTAACTGTTTCTTGTTGTACCATATGCCAAAAATCATTAACTGTTCCAGGTAATGGTCCTTGAGTAGCAATATATTCTCTTCCGATATTTTCAAATGGTGTTCGAATACGATTTGCATTCATATAATCTGTAATTGGATAATTTTTTAGAATAACACGTGTTTCATCATATGGTAAAATATTTTTAAAACGATTTCGTATTTTATTGTCTGGTTTTTCACCATTTCGTTTATGAAATGTTGATGATTGAGATTCTGATTGTTGATTTAATAATTCAAATTCAACACTAAAACCATTTTTTTGTCCATTCTGTAATGGAGTTAATTTTGATAAATGTTCACAACGTTGATGAATATCACGAGCATAAAACCAATTCGATGTACATGGTTGTACAAGACGAAAAGCAATACCATTTGTCGTTATAAGAATATTATGTTTTAAATAGAAATGAATTAATTCATCTAATGTTTTAAAACGATCGATTTGTTCTCGTCGACCTTTCCCATCGAGAAACCATTGACCATTTGAATATCTTATTTTAATATTAGCTATAGCATCCGATGTTTTAATACATATAACATAATCACCTAGTGCTGTTTCAGAATCTCGAACAAGAAATGATCCAGCATGTTCACATTTATTTAAAAGAGCCATAACTTGTGAATGTGATATTGATCCATGATAATATCTAAAAAATATATATATATATAATCAATTTGAAAAATATTCTTTTTTTTTTCTGAATTACTTTTCAAATGTTGGCATTTGTGCTAGTACAGGAGTTGTTAATTCAATAATTTCATTATTTTTCTCTCTTAATTCTCCAAGATTTCGACGATAATGATCAATCATATCATATAATGTTGAAAAACATTCTTGCCTTTCACCTAAATCAAATCCTTCATTTGTTCTTTGAATACGTATATGTGTTATTTCACCATTTGCACGTCTTTAAAAATAATAATAATAATAATAAAAGAAATTGATTTATTCATTTCGTTACATACCGAACAGAAAGTACATATGCATCAGATTTAGTACGAGATGGTCGTACAAGAAAACTACCAGGAATATTTTTATCTTGTAATATTTTTTCGGCTTCAAATCCTGATATATCACGATGAAAGAAACTGAAATAAAATAAGATGATGCAATAAACTGATGTAATTCAATATCATTCTATTTACCCGCGTGCTAATCGACTGGACATTTATTTAAGAAATTATTTGTAATGATAATATGAAATTTTGATTAAATTCGTTAGTCATGTTTTGATCGGAAAAGGACGTACGATCATAATATAAAATTGAGTATTCAATTATTGTCATTAAACTATGTCCAATCAATGAGTATAGGAATTGAAAGACTCAAAAAAAGATTATTTAAATTCACGAAGAAATTTTTTGAATAAATATAAGAATTGTCTGTGACTTATTTTTATTTAGTTTTGTTAGATTAAATCGATGATTGTGATCATTTATCAACTGTATAATAACACCATCTATTGATTATGAATGTATATTTTATTAGAAGAAATTTGATATTATTGTTTGAAGAGATTTTTTTCAATTGAAGTTTGTTTGAACAATCTTGATTTGTATTATTATTTGATTCATAATGCACTTAAAACGATTAGTATACCTGAAATAGACTTATAAATACAAGTTTAAGATAAGCTATTCACTTTAGATATCAGATGACTTTATTCAATACTTTAAAAAAAGGAGAAGAGGGGAAAAACAGTATTCATTTTCACATAACATACTCTCTCGTATGTTTGTCTGATTGTTTACTACACATCGGCAGTTGTTTCGTCTGAAATATTCTTTTGTAAATTGAAAACATTGAAATTCAATGGGTAATACATGTAAATCGACAAAAACTGATTCAATAATTGCATCAATTGTTGAATCACCTATGTCAATAGTACCAAATAATCAATCGGAAGAAATTCCACCACCACCACCATCAACAACAACAACAAAAATAACAACAACTAAACTCTATCAATCTTCAAATGGTTCAACAATTCGTGAAGAAAAAGAAGAAGAAGAGGTTTGAAATATTTCTTATTTTAAAAACATAAAATATTTTTCGTTTTGTCGTTTAGGAAATTACTCGTACTGAAACTTAAATCTACTAGTTTAGTTCATTTACTTTTTTTTCTTCCTCTTTTACAGTCCGCATTCAATAATACAAATAAAAAATAAAATAGTCTATATATATTTGTCATGTCTTTTATGCCATTGATGACATCATATTATTATTAAGTATAGTTTTACTGCCAAACATTAATGATTTTGTTGCTGGACCAAGTAATTTAAGATTTTGTCCATTATCTACTGCCGATATAGGCGTTCGTTTCTTGACTGTTGTTTCAGCTGGACCAATTTTTCTTCGAGTTTTAGGTAATTTTGATCGTGCACGAAGATGAGTATAAAAATTTGCAAAAGTTTCAACAATAATCGGCATAGGTAAATCAATAATCAATACACCAGCAACTAAAACAAATATATATTATTTGCTTTTATTTGAAAAATAAATTTTTTTAACCTGTTGCAACAGCACCAATTAACATTCCTAACATAGTTTTTGGATATAAATCTCCATAACCAATTGTTGACATTGTAATCATATTAAACCATAGAGCATCAGGTATTGATTTAAACATATTTTCATCAGGATGTTTTGTTGTCATACGTTCAGCATAATAAATTAATGATGCAAAAACAGCGACAGCAATTAAAACAAAAAATATTAATAACCATAGAACAGATGAAGAAAATTTCATTGATGTTATAATAACTTTTAAACCTGGATGATGATTAAATAATTTAAATAAACGCATTATACGTATTGTTGATAATAAATCAAGTGCTTCATTATCATTAACATTTAATTTTGTTAATATCCATGTAAATGTAAACCAAAATGTTGCAAGAAAATCAATAATATTTAATGTTAATTTACAAAATTCTTTCTTATTTGGGCTAACTATAAATCTTATTATTATTTCAAATATAAACCAACAATTACCTAAAAAAAAAATATTTAATTTCATAGATTTACTATCTAAACATACAGATCCATTCAATAATATCAAATATTGGATGAACTTGTTGTCGATTTAATGTTGGTGTTCGATCTGTTGCTGTTGCATTAATATAAACATCAACAAAATCTATTTCAGTTATGCGAAACATAGATAATGTTTGTAAAACAAATGAAAGTATTGATACAAGTACAAAAAATATTGAAATCACAGTTACAACTTTAGCAATTGTTGATGATCTTGGTTCTTCAAATATTTGCCAAATAATCATCATCATTTTTTTATATTTAGGTAAACGACCTTGAACATATTCATAATTATCATCCCAACCAAATTTTTTAATTACTTCTTGTCGAGAAGATCGTACCGTATCCAATTCTAAACTATCTAATATCGATAATGTTTCTTGAGTTGAACGATGTTTAGTATAAGTCATCCTGGAAATTTAAAAAAAAAAGAAAAGAAACCATAAATATTTAACAAAAAATTATTTTAAAAGCATACCAACAACAAGGTTCAACATCTTCACGCTGTAAACCCCAATATGATAATTCATCTTCAAATAAAGGTCCACAAACATTTAAAGGATAATGTAATTTTCCAGTACGATAATAATTTAATATTTGAGAAAAAACACCTGGGTGACGATCAAAAAAATATTCATTTAATATTGGATCATAATAGGATAATTGTTCAGTTAATTTCGATAAACGTGTTGCTGGTAATTTTTTTAATGTTGATTTTAATGTTTCAAAACGTTGTCCACCAACATTCAGAATAACACGCGCATCAGCATCTGAATTTCCAAGTAAATTCACTGCCATTCTTTTTTTTTCTTCAATGCTTGCTAAAGTTTTTATTCAAAGATTTTTATTGAAGAAAAATTAAGCTAAAAAAATAAAAAATGTTCAACTAAAAAACTTAGTTGTTTTTGTTCACGTATTTATATTACATACCATAATAATGACTGATGAAATCAATACGAACATGGGAGACTATTGATGAGTATTATAGTAACAGAAAAAGAGAAATTTGGCCTATTGATCATCGAGCGTACGAGCAGCAATAGTCGGGATAGAGGAAGAACAAAATTAGGTTCTAGTTCTACTCACTCTAACGCTTTTGTCAAGCACAATAAGCAAACGAGACCGAGAGAAACAGGAATTTCCTTTTTTTCTTTTCTTCCTCTCGGAAAAAGCCAAGAGATGTATTTCTGTAAAGAACACACACACACTCACACTCACAGAACGCACACAGACAGAAAATAAGAAATAAGCAAAGCTATGCGCGTTTCTCTCTCTCTCTCTCCATCACACACACACATACAAAGATAACACACAGAGTCGTTTTTTTTCAATCTATTAATAGTTCACTATGTGGCATTGTTGTCATCGTCATCAGTAGTTTTGTTATTTGTTTTACGTCCTTTACGTTTTCCATTAGAATCTGGTGTTTCATCAGGAGTTGGTTTAGGTGAATTACTACCTTTACCATCTTTATCTTTATCTTTATTTCGTCCAAATGGAATTTTAAGACGACTTAAAAGTTTCTTTTTTTCTACTGGTTCACCATCTACTGCTTGATCACTATGACGATCATAAATTGGTTTACGTGTTGATAAAGTCACTTTTCCTTCAGCATCAGCTTCATGTACAGCATAAACAGTTTTACCATCACGTAAAACAAGAAATTCAGGATTTACTTCACGATCAGTATCTTCTAATTCACGTAATTTTTGTGCATAACGATGTAAATCATCTGTATCAACACCATCTTCTTCTTCTTCATAATAATTTAATTCATAAGGTGATTGTTCACCAAATAATATATTATTTTCATCACTTACAAGTGTACTAACACCCGTACGAAAACGATTTAAAAATCCACTTTTTTTATTTGTTGATTTTGAATCGGATGATTTACTACCAGGTTTTTCATTACCACCACCAGGTAGCATTTTTCTTATACGTGATTTTGGTTCATTTCGAGCTGATTTTGGTAAATGTATAACACACCATTGATCTTCACCAACATATTGAGCAAAATTTATTTTCGATCCTAAATTATTATATGCTTCAGTTATTAACATTTCATAATCACTTTTCTCAGGTCCAACATTTAATTGTTCAGCTTCAGTTGGATATGGTGGTGGAGCATCATATGATATATCACCCGTAGTTGAGCCATATGTACCATCTTGTGAATAGGCACCATTGAATTCTAGAATAAAAATTCTTTCAAAAAGAAATCTAACTCCTCGTTGGTTATTAAAGACATAATCTATTCATCCAATCCGACTAAAGTGTCTTTGTTAGTTATTCTTTTAACTATTTCTCTCATTATAATATACATAAAATCTATATAACATGGCACGTACAAAACAAACAGCTCGTAAATCAACAGGTGGAAAAGCACCACGTAAACAATTAGCTACAAAAGCTGCACGTAAATCTGCACCAGCAACAGGTGGAATTAAAAAACCACATCGATTTCGTCCTGGTACAGTTGCATTACGAGAAATTCGACGTTATCAAAAATCAACTGAATTACTTATAAGAAAATTACCATTTCAACGTTTAGTTAGAGAAATAGCACAAGATTATAAGACAGATCTACGTTTTCAAACATCAGCTATTTTAGCTTTACAAGAAGCTTCAGAAGTAATAAAAAATTTCATTTTTCTTTACATTAAATGTTTTTTTCTTCTATAGTCATATCTTGTTGGATTATTTGAAGATACTAATCTTTGTGCTATTCATGCAAAACGTGTTACAGTAAGAATTTGTTTTTGTTGAAATAAATAAATATTAAAACTTATTTAGATTATGCCAAAAGATATTCAATTAGCTCGACGAATTCGTGGGGAACGTGCTTAATTATTAAAAACTAAAGAACATCTATCTATCTGTATATTTATATTTAAATGAATAAATAAATACCTGCATTAGTATAATCACCATAATTGTTACTATCGAATGTATCTATCGAAGGATCTATTGATTTATTTGATTTATGTTTTTTTGGTTTTTTAACTTTTGGTGTCATTTCTGCCGTTGGATCTAATTCATTCATTGTTGGATTATCCATCGTTTGAAAATCTCCATCAGTTGGTACTGCTTTTGGTGCTTTCGATTTCTTCTTTTTTACAGGTTCGACTTCATCTGTAGGCAACGGATCAATATTTTCGATGTTTGCTTCAACTTTTGGTGCACGTTTTTTCTTTATTTTAACAACAGGTTCACCATCCATCGACGGAGTTGGTTGAGAAGTTTCAGGTTCATTTTCTATGCCACTATTTTCATGAGTTTTACGACTCTTCTTTTTTGTTTTAACAACTTCATCAGTATATGCACTTTCATATGGATGTTCAGCTAAGTCATCAACAGCTGATGGCGGAAGTTTTGGTGCTCGTTTCTTTTTTTCACCTGTTTTGGTTGATGTTTCTGATGTATGTTCAGCTTTTGAATAACGTCCTTTTGCACCATTAGTAAATACATCGTTACTATAGACTGATTTATCAATTTCTTCGTAACTCATAGTGTCTATCTGTATGTTATTTTACTGAAAGACGAAGTATCTACAATAATAATTGATCGAAGCAAATAAAAAAAACCATGACATTACGAAGACTGGCGTGGGTGACTCGACAAAAAAAGAATAGCATGTTCCTATTCCTTTTCTAATATGAATAGTTCGATCAAGCGTGTCATTTTATCGTCAATATTGACTATCATTTGTACAAGGTGATATTCATACTTATATTTTAAGACAGAAAACGAAACATTTTATATACATTTTGTTAAGGAAGAAAAAGAGGAAAAAAAGATAATTGATGAAAGTATGAATAATTATTTTGATTTTTCAATGTTGTTATTGCTAGTGCGTGCATCATAAAGATTAATTGATTATAACAGCTGAGAAGTACGACGATTTAGTTTCGGAGGTACACTCTAGAATAAAAAGATTCTAATATAGAAAAAAAATAATTCTTTTCTTTATCTTACTCTAGTGCGTTTTCTTATCGCTTCTAATTCCGTATCATAAGCTTTAAGTAATGTTTCAAGATATTTTTCAATTTCATCAGCACGTCGATTTTGTGGATTAAAAGCATTTTCAATTAAAATCTTATATAATGGTCGATTGATAACTATCTAAAATGAAAAAAAATAATATTTGTAAATAATTTATTGCATAATTTTTATGTCATACATAATGATGATGAAGTCGTGCTTGTTTTAATTTATGTAATTCTTCTGCAAGTAATTTACGTCGTTCATATAATTTATTTGAAGTTGAAATTGAATTTGATGTATGTATAATAATTTTATTCGTTGGATCCAATCTTTAAAAGAAAAATTTTAGATTTTTGAAAGCGAAAAAAAAAATAAATGAAACAACTTTGCTTCATCACTATGAGTTAGTGGTGTAATTGTGGTTTTTGATTTAGCAAAAACACGACGACGATCTTGAGCATTGATTTCATCTAATACAAGACTATTTTTCGTCAATGGTTGGAAATTTAATGAACGAGTTTTTTTAAGATCATCATATTTTTTATTATCTAAACATAATTGTGCTTGTTTCAATAAAACATTTTTCGGCTTTGTTAATATATTCGTCGATGGCTTCGATAAATTATTTATTATTTTCGGAGTAGATTTTTCCCGATGAATAACCAACGAATTCTTTCGTAATTTATATTGACGATAATATTTTTGAATACGTCGAGCATATATATTAGCAAGTAAATTTCCACGTTGACCACCATGCTTATGAATAAGATACTTCATGCATGCTTCTTGACAACGTATACGAGCAAGATCATATGGTGTTAAATAATTACCCTATAGTATTAATATATAGTTTCATTGAATTTTATCCTTTTCAGAGATGTATAATGACAAGGACTTGTCATTTTACTTTAGAAATTCATTGAAGAAGAAAAAAAAGTATCACCCTTGAAGTTAACTTCATTTCCGTTATTTGATGACTAGTTTTAATGTCGAAGATATGCTCTGTTTCTGATGCTATGCACATGTCTATTCTAATTTATCTATATATATATTAGATAAAAAGAAATTGCACTTAGCGTAAGCTTCTCATGACTTCCATTAGAAATTAATTGAGAAATATCAAGACAATTCTATTCTATTTGTAAACTTATACAAAATCATTAAATCTACTATTTCCTTCTTCCTCTATCTCTTTATAATCATTTTCCGTTATTACTAAATTGAACTATTTTAGTCTAATTATTTAATATATATATAGCTTTTCGGGAGATTAAAAAAGAACATTCAAATATTACTTACAGCAGATGTTCGCATAAATGAATTAATTTTAGCTCCACATTCAATTAAAACTTCGCATGTATCAATATCTCCTAGACTAGCTGCTAAATGAAGAGGAGTTCGATGTTCATCATTTTGAATACTAATCCTATATGGATATAATTTAAAAATATATCGAATAATATCTATGTATAAAAAAAAAATTTTTTTATCGTGAAAATATTTATTTAAAATTTACTATAAACTTGTAAAGATTCATCTGTTTGATTACGAACTTTATTGACTGATAGAGAATTTATTGCTTCATGTATTGGATAATCTCCACGTTTATTTTTTATCCAAATATTTGCATGAGATTCTATTAAATATTTTAAACAAATCAAATTTCCTTTTGATATAGCACAATGACTTGGTCTAAATTAAATTAAGATATAAAAAGTCTATTAAAAAAATCCTTGAAAATAATCATACGTTCGACCACGATTATCTTTATGATTAGGATCGGCTTTTAATTTAAGTAAGACTTGACAAACATCTGGATGATCTAATGTAATAGCATAAAATAAAGCAGTACAACCATTGAGATCTTCTCCTAAATATATTTCTTTATAAATAAACAAAGAATTATTTCTCAAAAAACCTTCAATAGGACATCCACATTGTTCTACTAGCATTCGAATACAAAATGCATGACCACGAGTTGCTGCACAATGTAAAGCTAAATTCAAATGTACACATAGAACAAAAATATGAACTATTTATTGATCTATACCAGATAGAGAATCTTTATCAATATGTAATTGATTGGCACCGTATTTATATAGTAAACGTATTGCATCAATAGCACCTAAAAATCAAATCTTTCTTTTAATTATTATTATTTATTATATTAAATCTGATGACAATAATAAGAAGATCATTTTGTCCTGTAGACATGTTTATTTTTAATCTCTACATCCTACAAGAAAAGATTCTTATCTTATGAAACATATTCATAACTTTCACCTCGATTATTTACGCACATACTATATCCTTCCAGTCGTCAGAAAAAAAAGGATTTATTATTAATTCTTACTGCTAATGTCAATCTTTTCAACAAGAAAACTAAATTTAATTATTATATAACCTGCACTAGCAGCCCACATGAACGGTGTTCGTATTTGTCCATCAGTACAATCAATATTCACTTTATGATCAATAAACTTTTGTAAAATAGCCAGACCTAATTTGAACAAAAAACCCAAACTTTCAAAAAAATTCCATATAATTTTATATTTACCCTTTACGGAATCAATTCGTAAATCTTCATTCGTTGGTACACTACATAATTGTGATGCATAATGAATAGGAAAAGCATTATGAATATCAGCTGTATGTATAGGTGCTTTATATTGAAGAAGAATATCAAATAGATGAAGATGTCCACAAACTAATATATATAAATAAAAATTTTTCAATATGTCTTGAAGAATTAAACCTGTTATCCAATGAATTAATGAATGTGATTCATTATCAACCAATTCAACATTTGCACCTTGTTCACATAAAAATTTTACCATAGTTTCATTACCATTCATACAAGCTGTAGTTAATATTTATTATTATATTTAATAGAAACTCATTTTTTTTTCTTCAGACATACCTAAATGAAGGGCTGAACAACCTTCATTATCTCGTAAATTAAGAATATTCGTTTTTATTGCATCATCTTTTAATAGAAGACAAGCACAATTTATATCCGTATTCTCCGAACAATAATGAAGTGCTGATCGACCTTGTTCATCTAATTGATTAATATCATACTAAATAATTGATTACAAATGATGAAAATCTCTTCAGAAAACTATTTCTTCTTACTTTGGAATCAATTAAAGATTTTACATAATCACTATTGCCTTTTTGACATGCATTAAAAAGTAATGCCGACATTGTTTTAATATTCTATACATAAAAATAATATATCATAGATAACAAAAGAATCATTAGATATGTTCACATTATCTTTCGCCTACTTATCGCTTATTTATTAATATGAACGCAAAAAGTGAAATATCAGAATAGGGAAAAAATCTGCTTATTATTTGTTACTTTGTTGCTGTCATGTCAACAGAGATATGTGAGTACGAGAGAGAGAAAAAAGAAGAAGAAGAAGAAGAAGATTCTGAACATTGAAAAGATAATCAGGAAGAAGCAAAAAGAGAAGATAATATAAGAAAGATAATTTATTATAACAATGAAATACCTATTTAGACGCTTAAACAAATATTTTGACGTTGATGGGATGTAATAGCCTTGTTGAAAAGAATCATAAAGAAAAAATCATGCAACATTCTTTTTTTAGTTTTTAACATGCTATTTTTAATCCATTTAGTAGACATGCAGCTCATTTAATTCTTACGCGTCTATGATTTATATATAGATGTAGTTTATGTTTGACTCCAATCAGAATTTTGTTGATTATTCTACGAGTAATTTATTTAAATATTACAAAAAATATGTCGAGTAAAACAAACACATCGACAAAATACACTAATTTTTTTTTCAATATTTATAATTTTGAGTTTCTAAATAAAATAATTCATTTTTTAATTTATTAATTTTACGCTTTAAACATTTCATTTCATCATGTGAATCCATTGTTTGTCCTATAATAAAAAATAAATTTTTCTAAATAAAAGATAATGCGTGAAGAAAATCTTACGTTCAATTTGTTTTTTTAATATTTTATTTTCTTTTAATAATTTTCTAATATACACATCATTATTATCTTTAATATATTTTTCATTAGTTTTTGCTCGTTTCATTTTAATTGTTATTCCATCAATATTAAACATGTCTGTTTGAAGAAGTAGTCGATCAACCATATCATAATCTTTAAAATGTATAAATGCATGTAAAGACTTCGGTACAATTCGAATTTGTTCAATATACATTTCATATTCATGAAAACAATGACGAATTGCGAAATCATTCCAGTTTATGATTAAATCATTTCTTATTGGTTTGATAAATAAAACGGTTGAATCCATATATGCACGTTCAATATATCCATAACGAAAACGACGAATAAATATTTCTTGTCTATTAATAATACATTTTCGATATTTTGATAGAACACGATCGATTGATTCGATATCAGAAAATAGAATTATTGCTGATTTTGGCGTCCAAGATTCAATATGTTCAATAGTACCAAATGGACTGAAAAATGCATGTATATCTTGAGTATTAATACGACCATCAAGATTACTAAGAAAAATTTTCAAATAATCAGCACCATTCGATGGTGAAAGTACAACATTTGAATCTTTCATAGATATCAGATGCAATGAGTGAATAGAAATGTGTTCTTGTCTGAACAGTTCAGGCTTAGTTGTGAATGTATTGAAAGTCTTGCTATTGAATAAAAATTTTACCTCGAAAATTTGTTCGTTACTGTTCAAAACCTCTAATTAAGAATAAAACTTCCCGAAAAAAAAATTAATTAAGGAGGTTAAATAGAAACTCTTTGTTGATCTTTTCTCGTTCAATAATCTCAATTTTGCTAAAAAAAAACTTAGGAAGAAAATAATAATTTCCCTTTTGTTTCATTTATAGATGACGCTTTACAAAAATATATGTCTGATTGAACATTGTTCATCGTTCAATCACACCAATAATAAATGAATAATACAAATAATCGATTTCGATTTTAAATACACGAAAATTTTCGATCATGTCAGATAATCTAGTTCAACATTATATTAATACTCATGAATATTTAACAATTAAAATCTATGATTGTTATTTATTATTTCATCGAAATATTATTCAACATTCGAATAATCATGAATTAGGCTTAGGTAAAAAATATTTCAGTTAAATTTATTCTTTTCATTCATTTTTTCGTAATTAGAATTACCACCAGCTATTGTAGAAACAATTTTTGGTTCAAATCCTTTATCAGTTATTGATGTGACGAGTACATGTCATGTTCATCCATCACTTTATGATATAATTATATTTGCTGATAAATCTGCTGTTTATACACGAAAAAAATTATCATCGAAAATTAATAAGGCTGTAAAACAAACAACGAAATATAAAATACTTCCATATTATGTACATGAAGATTTAGAGTTATTAAAATGTTGTGGAATGTCAAAAGAAGATATTGATTTATTTAGAAAAAAACTTGATGATAATCAAAAATTAGATTTTTTTACTACGAGTAAATCTGATGAAATTCTTCAAAAAATTATTGATTTTACTGACATATCAACGAGATTAAAGTAATTAACAAATATTTTATTATCAAAAAAAAACCTAATTCTCATTTTAGTTGTCGATTAGTATCAAGAAAATGGAAAACACTTGTTGATCGTTCATCATCAGTAAAATATCATACTTTTCCTTTCTAATCAATCTATTCTTTTTCCTTATAGTGGAATTATGTATGCTTGACAAAACTAAATCGATATGTTAATCGAGCGTTAAGTTATTTTCAAAAAATTAATATCCGTGAATTGGTAAGAAAATGATTTTACGAAAAAAGTTAATAGTCGTGTTCTGCATGATTGGACACAATAAATCATATTTTCTTCTCCGCATTGTAAAATACGAGTTAATATTGATCTGTTTTTTTTTCAGGATCTTTCTCAGTTATTATTCGAACCGTTACAATATAATATAACAAGTGATCTATCATTGTATTCATTACGATCACTCTGTATAACAACCGATCATCCACCTGAATTATTTATCTTATTATTTCAAATTGCACCTTTTTTACAGCACATTAAACTTATTCAAACCGTGAATTCATCATTAAAAATCAAAACTATTCAGTTGTATGATTATATTAATTATATTATTTGTCTATGTCAAAATAATTTAAAATATTTACGTAAATTACATATTCAACTTCGATCTGCATTTGATCAGGTAAACTAAAAACAAGAAATTTTGTATAAATTAACTTTTTTTGTGTCGATTTTTAAAATAGATATTTCTCGAATCATCTTCCGTTACATCAATACCAGTATCGTATGAAGTCATTACTTGTTAGATAATTGTTTTTGTGTGATAGATATACATTCCTAGACGTTTGACTTGCATTTTGTAATAAGAATTATTTAATTTATCAATAAAATTTTACGACACTACTATAATCGATTTTCTTTTATTAAAATTTATTATTCTTTTTCTGTTTTAACAAAATGTTAATGTCTTTATTCCGGTATTAAATCATCTTCACAAACCCAAGCTGTATAATCAGGTGAATGACCCGTAAAATTAACTTTATAATAAATTTTTCCATTACGTTCTTCCATTGCAAGTACTTCATTAACAGTTTCGATTTCATCTTCATTTTTTAATAATGGTGAGATTGTCATATCTTTATTAATATTTTCATGTGAGGCTATTTGATTTGATGTTAAACCTTGTTGAATAGGTGATGAAAAATTGCTTTTTGATTGAAATGGAAAATACATATTAGAATAATGATTTGCTTGAGTTTTATATAAACGTTTCTTTTTCAGAAGTTTTATTATAATACAAACAAAACATAATGTAAAAAAGAATAAGATTATACAAATTATAATAACTAGAATCAATGAATTTTGAAGATTGAAAAATAACTAAAATCATAATCTTCGAGCGAGAGAAAAAATCTTTTTTTTTATTACTTTTATATCATTCCAGATATTTTCATCAGTGACGATTGTTGTTGTAAATAATTTGGTAATATGTGTATTGGTGGTTAGATTAAATGTAGATGAAGACATTCTACACTTGAATCTTTTGGTTAGTTTAGATTTGGCGCTATTTATAAAATATAATGGAAATGAGATTGATTTCAGTATCAATAAAGTTCATTGAAACATATATATAATATAATTACATGTTGAAATATCATATAGATAAGAAATTAGAGATATACATGTCACATTAGTAATACGCATTATCTACACATGTCTATCATATGTAATAATTCATTTTAGTAAGAATAAGAAATAGTTGTGATGACACTTCATACTAGTATTTCTATTTACAACTACTTATTCTGAAGATGTATCATCAAATCTAGTTGTTAATGTTGAAAACATAATAATCTCTATATGATAAAATTATTTTCATTGTTTGTATGCTCGAATGGAAATTATTAAGATTATTTCCGGTAATTAATAATTATATCTTATCGAATTATCAATATAACGAGATCTGATACAACGATTTTTGATGTAAATATCACTCGTTAATGTCAACATTTCTTGCTATTATATTCCTTTCATATGTGCGCATGAAAAATGTTTGTTTTTGACCTTTTATTATTTTATGCGACCTATTTCTTGATTTGTGTAAAAATCTTATATGAATGGTATCATTGCTCTACCTTTCAAATTTATTTATATGATTCTATTTAGCCCATGTAGGTATAGCACGACCTAAATAAGCATCTGGATCAACACCATCACCTTTCAATCCATTACGACCACGTTTAAAACTTGCTACTTGATTTGTAGCACCTGATGATGCTTCACGATCTCCAATGGCAATAGCATGAATATGTTTATTATTTTCAAAACTATCAGCAACACGTCCACGTGACCAAGCAGCAAAACCAGCTTTTCTTAAAGCAACTATCATAGTATCAACTTTTTTCTTATCATTATTAACAACAGATGTACGAATATCAATAGCACCACCACCATCATGTGTACCAGCACTAGCTGTAACACTTGATGAGTATGAACCTTGACTTAATGAAAATTGAAAACCAGACATTCCCATTTGTGCCAAATAAACTTCAGCACGTAAAATCATATCAATTGTACGTTGATTTAATTTTACATTACGCCATGTTTTACGAGTATAATCAGCTTTTGGTGGTGTACTTTCATAAGAATCAGATGCCGTTGTTGCACAATTAATATACTCAGCTGATGCCCATTGATTCGTATCAATACGACAAAAACCATTTTTATTCTCTAAACATTTCACTGTTGTACCTTGATAAAGACTTCGAACAATAGTTCCTGTTGCCGATGGTGATTGTCGTACATTCAATGTTGGATTGGCTTTTACTATACAACTATAAATAGGTGTATAGAGTGCAATCAATGAAAATAATATTATTACAATAGAATGCATTTTTAATATCACTTTGTTTTAGATTATTTATAGTTATATATATGCATTATGGGAATAAAAACATTTGTTATATATTTTTTTTTGTTTTGCTTTATTTATTAAAAAATATCAGATGTATTTTTCACAGATAAAACTCACTGAGAATTTTTTTTTTGCATAAGTCTATTTTTAAACATTCGGATGATATGGTTTTGGTGTATCTGTAGACATTCTCGAATCAAGTCGAAATAAAGATGAATGTTCTTCTTGTATATCAGTTGTATTTGTTATTGATGAACGTCGCTGTTTCATAGTTGCTTTTTGAAATTGTTTTACTTTCGGTAATGCATCTCGTAGAAGTTGTCCGATACGTTCAAATGTTGGTCGATTAGTAGGATTTTCTGCCCAACAAGCATTCATTATGTCATTATATTCAGGCATAACATTCGTCATTGTTTCTTCAAATGATACTAAACGTTGTCCTTCAACAATGATTCGACTAACTTCAGCTTCATCTTTAATGTCTGCATATGGTTGTTCTAAACGTATTTGTTCCCAAAGACAAACACCAAATGAATAAACATCACAGGAAGTATTAAATCTTGAATTATCCGATGGATTCGATAGTATTTCTGGTGATGACCAACGTATTGAAACTGGTAATGCTGGATGACTTAATTTACATAAACAACGTTCACTATCACATGCTTCACGAAGTGGTTGAAGAATCGGAATAAGACCGTAATCACAAACATGTACACGTAAATCAACTCCAATAAGAAGATTTGATGATTTTAAATTTCTATGAAGTATTTTTGATTGATGTAAATAAGCAAGTGCATCTGATGTATTTATACACCATGATAATCTTAATGACCAATCAACTTTTGTTGGAAAACGTCGTATAAAATCAATAATTGTACCATGTTCAGCAAATGATAAAAGTATTCGAGGATAAATATCAATATCAAAACAAATGCCAATAACTGCTGTTAAATTTTTATGACGTACATGACTTAATAAACCAATTTCATTTTCCAAATAGGTTTTTTCAGTTTGAGAAAATTTTTCCGGATGAACACCAATACGTAAAGTTTTTACTGCAATTAGTTTTTCATTCCATCGTCCTTCACATACTTCACCGCCTAATTCACCAACACCTAAGCTAGAAAAGAAAAAAGAAAAAAGAAATTATAATAATGTGTCTATGATGAATTTAATTATTAATATGTTGTCTACCGTTTAATAACTTTAAAATCTTGAGAAGATATTATGGAATTTTCTAGAACAGGAACTATTGATTTACTACGTGGTCGTTTATGAGTCCCACTTCGATGATAAGTATCCGTTAAACCAATTTTAACTCCTTGTGATGGTTCCAATGTATTGATATTTAAATTTGCTATTCATTTTATAGAAAAGATGATAAATATATAGAAGAGAGAAATAATTATATTTACTAGTAGCTACTGCTCCGTATGTATTTCGTTCAGGATAATGTCGACGACATTGAAAAAAAATGCAAACAGCTGTACCAATAATAAATAAAATAACCAACAATAAAACTAATAAAAGTCCTTTTGGAAATGTATTGCCTATTTATTTAATAGCATTATTTTAAATTAATTACAGAAAAAGAAATTGATATACCTCCGCAAACGTTTGGACAACAACAACGATGTGTTAAAGAGAAAACCTACGTGTAATATCATTACTTATTTTTTGAATCAAACTATAAAATAAGATCTAATCCTACTGGTGTTATATTATGCTGATATTCAACGAATTTAAAATGCGCACGATGTATACGTCTATTGCAATCACATCGAACGTGCATTTTTTTATTTGCATATGACCTCGAAAGAAAAAACAACATTTTCTTTACATAGTAAAAATTCTATGAATGAAATATATATATAATTTCATTACTTTGATCCATAATATTGAAGTGTTAATGGTGTTATTGTTGATAATACAGTTGAATTTAATTTAATTGCATTTGTATAATATTCATAATAATCTTGTCTTAGTTGTATTTTTTTACAACCTAAAACATTATGACATTGTTCACCATTAACTGTATATGGATCATCATTTATTGGAAGATTGAATGTTTTACACGGATTGAAATAATAAGTTTCATTATCCAATGCAACCCTATTGTTTAATATATTAGAGGAAAAAAAGAGATATTTGATCTTACGTTAGAAGTTGATTACGTATATCCCGTAAATCAATCCTTTTACTAAGATGTTTGTTAGCAGTATATTCATGCCATACACAATTAGTTGATGTTGTCGACCATGTATTAGAAATGGTTAATTGGACAATAGGTAGGAATAATAACAGGAAATATGTAATAAATATCATTATAAGATTAATAATAGAAGAAAAGAAGAGAGAAAAAAAATATGTATTAGATTTTATTTTTTATTCTCTTTTTTTTTTGTAAAATGATTGAAATAGAAATATGGTAAACGACGTCATCGACATATATTTTTTTTTCATTCTTTTTCTTTGACATATTTTTGCGAGGCAGGTGTGGGACTCACTAAAGGGAATGCTAATAGGAAGGGTATATATGATGTGAAAATTGCGTATGTATCATGGTACAGAAAAGGACGAAGAAGAGCTACTCGTCTATGATTCTTTTCTTTTCTTTTTTTTTCTCATTCTTCGTTATTTGTCAGATATTGTACAGAAATATATCGGAGAGAAAAAGGAATGGATGAAGAAAAGAGAAACTTTGTTTCATCTAAAAATAAAATAAATTGTATATTACCTATAAACATTCAATTTTCTTTTTACATAAAATATAAACCAAACACTTAGAAGATTTATTCGATTGATTAGTTTAATATTGTTAATCATTATATTATCATTAAATGACTACTATCGACATCTACATATTTAATTATCTCTTTCGTTTTGAATTAAAAATCGTTTGAATTCAACTTTATTCTTTAAAATATATAGTTTCTAAATTTTTTTATCTTATTTGATTAATCTTAGAGTTTCATTAATGTTCATTATGGTATTGATTTGTTAATTGGTTGTTATATAGAATACCTATAATTGTTTATAAAAGATCCTTTTCTTTCTCTTCTGTTCTATCAATCAAGATTATTATGTATGTACCTTTTTGCAACTAAAACATCACTATTAAACAAAATTGTCTAACAGTAATAAAAAGAACAAATATGGAATAAAAAATAATTAAAATATACAAATACGAATGAACTAATGGCTGATATTAGTAAACTCGGTTCACTCATCGATGAGACAAAGGTCTTTTACTTAATTTTTTCTTTATCTAAATATATTTCTTACTTTAGACATGTTCTGTTATTAATAATCATATCAACGATTTAAATAATAATAAGAATAATTCTATATCAATGTCAAATGATATTGATCAAACAATAAATGAAAAAGATGATGATGATGATGAACAACAATCTGTTAAAACAAAAATAATTAAATGTAAAACAAATAATCAACAAGCTCAAACACCTTCATATAATATTTTAACACCCAATGGTTCATCATCATCATCATCAACAGCAATACGTTCAATTGATGCACCAACTGAACATACATCTATTAAATTACATATTCGACGTGTTTGTTCACCATCATCAAATGATACTGTATCAATACCTCCTACAACAAATCTTCTATCTCAACAATCAAATGACTCAAACGAACAACAACAACAACAACAATCAACAACGAAAATAATATCTAGAAAATTTTTCAATTCAAATGAAGTAACAAATAATAATAAAATATCTCGTCGTCCAATATCTACAAGACGTACATCATTAATTGAAATTGATTCTTCATCTATATATGATCTTCCAAAAACACTTATTAATAATCATATGAGTGTATCCGATGAAAATATATTAAAAAAACCAACAAAAACATATGGAAATAAACGAAAAGTACTTAATGAACAACAAGAAAAAAAACGAACGAAATTAACTTCACGAACAGTTAAACAACAAACAAATAATAATAATAATAATAATAGTAAATTTATTTTATTACAATTCTCTTTTTCATATTTTTTTTATAGAAACTTCAGCTCCTCTTGTACAAACTCGTTCATCAAGTCGTCTAAAACAAAAATATAATCCTATAAATGATCATTCACAAGATTCACCCATTGATAAACGTTCAAGTACAACCAAACGTCATTTAAGTACGGAATTAATCACAGCACAAACATCTGATCATTCAACAACAACCACCGATGATATATCACCTAGTGAATATAAATATCTTTATACATCTCCTCTACCAAAACAATATACAACAAATGAATGTCAAACAACAGATGATATTATTGAAATATGTCATCAATCAATTCAAACAAATCGTTTAATTAAATCAGATAAATCTACTTATACAGATTTTATTGATCAACCATTATGTGAAAATAGTACTCAAACAATTCGTAAAGAAGAACAAGAAACTCAAACAACAGATCTTAATTGTCCTAATGATTCTCAAGTATATCTTCATGATTTAAAAACTACATATACACAATGTGATAGGATATCTGATACGTGTTCATCATCACCATCACCTATATCTTCACCAGTACATTTATATGATCAACAACAAAGACTTTCATCTCCATATATTGATTTTTCATTAACAAATAGTAATAATGATCGTTTACATATATTTCAAAATTTAATACATACAGAAGAACATCCAAATGGTGGTGCAAGTTTAATACGAACATATTATAATGAATTTTTACATTTATCAAATGAAAATGCAAATTTATTTGTTAATTATTTTTTTAATCTTGTCTATGGTGAAATCAATCAACGTGCAAAATATTCTATTGGAGTATTACATGATGGAGCAAGATATTTACCTGATTTAGTTGATTATTTTAGTTTATCATATCCAAAAATGATTGTTAAAACATCGAATATAATTAATTCAAAAGAAGTATTAACAACTACAATGGGAGAATATAGAAATCGTCTTGTACAAACATATTCAAATGGAACATTTCGTTATGGACCATTAATGAGTATTTCATTAGTTGGAAAAGTTACGGGAAAAGAAGAATGTGGTAAGAAAGAATTATTTTTAGAAGATAAATTTATTTATTTTGTTTTTTTGCTATGATAATTTAGGAGATTATTTTCCAACATTTATTGATAAATTAGAAGAAAATCCATTTTTACAATGTGTGATGCCATGGGGACCATTTTCATCGATAAAAATGAAATCACGAACAGATTCAAATGATGGACCCATTTTATGGGTTAGACCAGGTGAACAATATGTTCCAACAGCTGAACATAAAAGTTGTCATCCAAAAAAACGTATGGCAAATGAATTAAGAAATTTAACATTTACTGGTCGAGGAACTGATCCAAGAGAAGTATTAGTTGAAGATAGAACTAAACCACATAGTGATCATTGTGATGGTGATGGAGTTGAAACAACAGCAGCTGTTGGTATTTTAAAAGCTGTACATTGTAGTGCACCGTTAGTTATATGAAAAATGATTTTCTATATAATTAATTCTTTTTTTCAAGAGCATCGATTAATCGAATGGTTAAAGATGTGGTTTGTTTTCATGCAGAAGATTTTGAAAAAGTTGTAGAAAGATTAAAAATTGATTTATATGAACCACCGGCATCACAAGTAAGATAAATCTGAACGCAGAACAACTGATCATTTTTTTTTATTTAAATAACCTAAAATTTGTATGTTGTTTTTTCTTTAATTTTACAGTGTCTACAATGGTGTGACGAAGGTAAACTAAATCAATTACGACGTGATGGTATTCGTTATGTTCGTTTATCATTATACGATAATGTAATTCACAAAAAAGAATTCGTTTCTTTCCCTAATATTTCATTTTCTTTCTATTCTTAGGATATCTACTTTATTCCACGTAATGTTGTTCATCAATTTCGTACATTATCAGCCGTTACATCAATAGCATGGCATGTTCGATTGAAACATTATTATCCGACTGAATTACCTGACGACGAATACACTCCTCTCTATAGTCCAATATCTGATACATAGAGAAGAATTATTATTATAATATTGTTTATTTTTACTACAAACAATTTTGAACAGTTTATTATTTTCTAAATCTCATAAAAATTTTCTTTACTGATTTGTACATAGAATAATCATGTAAAAACAAACTTAATAAAGAAATCGTTTGTTCTTGTGTTTAATTTTTGCGCAATTGTTTTTTTTTTAATTCTATTTGCTGAGTTTAATTGAGCAATAACGAGTGTTTATTAAGCTCTCTCTCTTTTTTTTTCGTTTCTTCCTTATACGTATGTGTCATTGATTTCTTTCTTTCTTTCTTTCTCTTTTCTTTTTGTCGTCTGCTTTGAAAAAAACTATTTATCATATTGTTTTGTACTCGTTTGACACTTTTTTTCTTTGACAAACGAGATGAAGATATACTGAAACAAATAAAAAGATTTTTTTTAAATTTGTCTTATGACAATTTTTGGTATACCAACAATTTTTAGATCTTTGGCAGCCATATATATATAGACGATAAGCATGCCAAATGAAAAACAAACATTTAGTTCATTACGGTAAGTTTTTAGAGAAGATTGAAAGCAATTGATGGAACAATTTTTTATTTAGAATGGATATTAAGAGTGTATTAAGGCCGTTTGATGATGAACGACAATATTTACGTAAGTATATAAAACAAATACAGCGCAGATAAATTAACGTTTCCGTAATTAGTTGCTATTTCAGGGAGTAGCATCGGGATTTTTTCAGGATTGAGTATTCGCAAAATAGAGACTTCAGTTTAATTCTTGGATTCTTTTGAAGATGTACGATTATTACGCTCTCGTATTCTCAGATCTCACTCAAGATGTATCGCAGGGCAAATACCAACGGAATTTCAAAACCCACAAAAATCGAGAGTTTCTAATCCCGTTGATGTTTCTCCTTCACACTTCTTCACAAGTGCCCAAGAACCAAGCTGAAGTCTCTATTTTAAGAATACTCAATCCCGATGCCGCACCCCAGAGTGTTTAGTCCAATTTCTATTAATATACTGATATGTGTTTCGAAGAAATATTCTCTTTCTCGTAGAGAAGAGTCCAGCAGAAATAAATTGTTTGCTTGTCTGTCCGCAGGATTAAAAAAACATGGAAATAGACATTTCTAGACGTATTTCGATGCGGGGACTTTGAATCTGAGGTATATTAAGTGACCATGGTGAGGGGGAAAGGTCAAAAAAACATCGTAGACCGATTTTTCATGGTTTTTAATTGTTTTTCCAGTAAATGTGAAGAGGATACATTTCTACGAGAAAGAGCTAAGCGAGTCTTCGGACGAGCGTTACTTGTATTTATATCGAAATCTTTTTTTTTAAATTTTTCAAATAATTTTCTTGTTTAGAAAAACTCCGCCAATCATCGACGATTGAACCCATTTTACTTCGTCTATTCGATTTATTAAAACCGGAAGATTATCGTTTATTATTTTCTACAATTAATCGACAAAAATTAGATTCGAAATGGTTAGAAACATTTAGTAAATTATGTATGCAACGTTATTTAGATATTGATGATATCTTTTTTTCGGATAAAATTCTTACTAATCAACTTAAACCAGAATCAAATTCAAAATCAATTCTTGAAAATTATACAAATTATCTTATAGAAAATTTCAAGAATTTTTTTACTGTACATTATTTTCATGCTATTATACATGAATTAGAAGAATTAAATCATTTTAAAACTGAACAAATCACCAAACAAATAAATAAAAATAATGATATTATACAAAAACTTTTCTTATTATTCAATAATAATCCACAATTTAATGATGATTCAATTATTCATTTAAGTTCAACACCAGCACAACCTATCTATCTTAATTATAAAGTTATACATATGGTATTTTTACGTACATCTGTTTTAATTAAAAATGATGGTGATTTACGTTTACCATTGAAAGGTATAACAACAGCATTTGTTGCTGATTTAAAAACTACAAAAATAATTAATATACTCGATGAGACAAATAATAAACCTTATGATATACCATCAAAATGGCTTTATTTTGCTAAAGAATGTGACAAAAATATAATTGTACCATTAAAATTACGAGTATTAATTATTGATTCTCAAACTGGACAATATCGTTTTGGTTTAATTGGTGAAGAACCAGGAAAAAATAATAATTATCGTTGTTTAATATTTTTTACTGATGATAAAACAAATATATCAGCGAGTTATCATGATTCATCAGATATTCATGTTTGTCTTGATCAAACATTTGAATGTGAAAATGATTTTTTAAATTGTTATTTTAAATCTTATCCAGAACGTATGATGTTACGTGCTAAAGAAGATACAATTGTTAAAATACGAAATATAAATTCAACTAATAGAAATAGTTTTATACAAGCAACAGTCATACAAATTGATTGTTCAATGATGTTAATTGAATTAAGTAATACAAAACAACGTATTTGGATTTATCGTGGTTCAACATTAATTGAACAAATGAATAATTATTATTTAACACAGAATAAGGCGGATACAAATGGTTTTAGTAGACATTCAGCGAGACAACATTTATCAGCAAAAAGATCAAATGCACCGGAAATTATTTGTTTAAATGATCAAATGAGAACAAAAAATGTTCGAACTGCAGAACAAGTTATTGATGATATAAGTTAGTATTTATATTAGATAATTGATAAGTTGGTGTTGTCAAGAAATCAAGGAAAAATTTATTCGTAGTGTAATAGTCATAGAAGACATAACAAGTAGAAATAACGAAGATGTGAGAGACAATTTGATAGGAAGTTTATTTCTTCGAAGCTACCAAAGGAGAGAGTTCGTCGAGAAGTTCGGCGTGATCTTGAGGGTGTGGGTGGATCTTCCTATATCATACTCATACCTACACCCACACCCTAGCTCAGTTGGTAGAGCATTCGCTCGTTACGCGGTAGGCTCGAGGTTCAATTCCTCGTCTAGTCATTTCTTTTGCTCCGTTCTGTTGTCATACTATATAGCTGGGCGGATTTCGAGTGCGAAATTTCCATCTTCAGAGACATGTTTTATTTCTTTTCCGGATTTCTTGACATATTCGATAAGTTTATAATCAACTATTTAGGACCTTCAAAACGAAAACGAGTATCATCTGAACATGATTCACAAAAATCTTTGCCAATTCAAACGGAATCTCGTACACTTCGATCACATCAACAAAATATTAATTCGACAACGTCATTAACAGATAATGCCATTACATCTGTACCTATACGTTCGAATCATGTTTGTGTTTTCTTTTTGTCTTTATATCAAATATCTATTTTGTTTTCTATTTGATAGATAAGTACAAATCCAAAAATAATAATCGATCCATTATTTCTCGAATTAACAGAAAACTTTCTTTTTCATTATTCAAAAGATTTTATTCCACATTATTGTTCTCATAAATGTGTTATGCATGCAGAAAAATTTTTATATCAATTACCGAGAACAATGAATCCTTTTTTAAAGCCAATTGCATGTCAATGGACAATTCTTGAAACTATACGAATTAAAAAAGCGAATGATGTTCGACTTAAAAATACACGTTCAATATTAATTTATCGTGCACCATGTTTGTTAATATGATTTTCTTATTTACATATTAAATACTGACATTTTCGTAAATTTTAGGTGGAAGAAAATTATTTAATGAATCTCAAGTAGATACTTATCTACATGAAACAAAATCGAAATTATCAATTGAATTATTTGTATTCGATAGTTCAGTTAATATAAGACAATCCTATTGTTCCGATGGTAAAATTGTAAAATCTGATATATCAAATGGACAAGAAAATGTTCCAATATCAGCTGTGAATGAAGTTGATAGTGAAGAACCAAGTCCATTTACTTATCGTGTTGAACGAACACCTGTTGAAGGTGTTAATATGGTTACTAATGAGCCAACAATGACATGTTGTACATGTACAGATGGATGTAGAAATCGAGCTCAATGTGCTTGTAAGATCATATTTCACTTATATAATGAATGTCATGATTAATATTTTTCGAATAGGTTGGTTACGCACATTGAAATATGCTGAATTAATCGGCGATGAACGTGTTAAATCAATGAAAGCAAAACATAAAAGTCAATCTGAAATTCTCTATCAAATTGGTTATGGTTTTCGACGTTTATATAAAAATGCACCTGGTGGCATTTATGAATGTAATAGTAAATGTTCTTGTCATAGAGAAACATGTTCAAATCGAGTTGTTCAAAATGGTGGTATTGCACAACTTCAAGTAATTATTCGTATAATAAGAAAATTGTTTTTTTATTTATCATTTGTTCGAATAGTTATTTAAAACTGTTGGCCGTGGTTGGGGTGTACGAACTTTACATGATGTGCCATTAGGAACATTTGTTAGCGTTTATTCAGGTGAAATATTTACTAGTGAACAAGCGGATGAAAGAGGAAAATTAATTGGTGATGAATATCAAGCAGATTTGGATTTTTTTGAAGTAAAACTTCTATGAAAAAAACAATTTTTTATTTACTTTTTATTTTTTTCTAAAGAATATTAACGATGATTCGGACGATGAAGACGATAGTGGTGCAAATTCAGATTCAGATGATGACGGTGACGAAAATAAAGCACCTTTGTCAAATACTGAATCTAGTAATCGATCACGAACTTTACGTCCACGTGAAATAGTTAATAAAAAAGATACAAAAAAATCATCGAAAACAATGCGTAATAAAACAGAAATGAATTCAACATTAAATCGTACAATGTTACCAGAATATGATGGAGTTGTTTATACACTTGATGCAAAATTAGTTGGTAATATTGGTCGATATTTTAATCATTCTTGTTCACCAAACATTGCTGTACAAAATGTTTTTGTTGATGTAAGATGATAAAAAAAATTTTATTTCTCTATATTAAAATTCTTTGACTGATATTTTTAGACGCATGATATACATTTTCCTTGGATTGGATTTTTTACAATGAAAACAATTCGAGCAGGAACAGAATTATGGTAAGAAGAAAAAATTAAATAATTCATTGAATTTATTTTTTTTTCTCGTTTAGCTGGGATTATAATTATACAGTCGGTGAAATAGCTGGTCGTCGAATGGATTGTAATTGTGGTGCTTCTGAATGTCGTCGTCGAGTTCTCTAGTAATTGAATAGATATCTTGATCAGATAATTTTTTTTCGTAAAACTCAAACGAAAAATTTATTTTGTATGTACTCTTTTGTGTATTGTACATTTATGTGTTATTATCTTTTTTTTTGTTTATCTGTGCTTATTGACAGATCAATTCATTTTTGCAATAAAAAAAACAAAAAGTTAGATATGATAGAAATGGAAGGACTTTATATTAAAGTATTGCATAGTTATTCTTCGACAGAGATTGGTGAATGATGTTTTGTGTAAACGAGACTGAGTGTTCACAAAGTAAAAACCAACCGCTGAGGGTGTGATTGAATTGGTAGATTTTGTAATATTTATGTAGTTGATTGTCAGGAAGAAGCCATAAGATTATTCTTTATTTCAAAACAACATATCGGATTAAAGAAAGCAACATACACATACTTTTCTCAGCATCATGCCAATATCTGGGTAGAGATACCTATAAAATGAACTAATTATTTTGGAAATATTTTGAGACTCGCCATAGTTCATAGTATGTTACATTGTGACTATAACACTGTCACTACTCAATATATTCTGGAATATTATCTGTACCGAAATGATTAGTGTAAAAAGCTTTACAAATTCTGACAAAACTGAAAACTTTTTCAACATATTGCACTTGACTACATATGGGATTTATTCATAACAAAAAGGTAATGTTGAAGTTTTTTAAGATGATTATTATGATGACTGAAAATTTGTCCCTCTTATTATGTTTTATTCAACATTTTTTTTCAATTGAACAGACACCACTCAATGACGTCAGACTTTTACTTATATTATTGGTCATTCTTTTGATTCTCTTTCATGTTTTTCTTTCACACATAGTCACGGTTGACTGATGTAAATATATAAGTACTAATTGCATTTTTCTTGTTATTGCGTATTTTTTCCCTTTTTCCAACATCATTATCAGTATGTTTTCTTGATGGTTTTTAGCGTGACTTAGGTGTTTTATTTACTTTTTGAATAAAACATTTCCATCTATTATATTATTTTCATCATCGTCGAGATGTTACGTCTAGCAATATATGGTAGAATGTTTATTGTGAATGATCTGATATCTCGTTATCCATTAGTGCTTATTTCGTTACTTTTTTGGCGAACGTGCTATGAGAAGGTTGAACTCATATAGTCATCTAAATATATCTAGAATTTTACTTAGATGTATATAGACTGTACTTACCTTTTGTTATACAATTATGTAACCAAATTAAACTAATATTATATAGTCTCAGTACACGAGAGAAGAACATAGAAAAATTATATAAGGCTTTTGATGTACACTATTCACAACACAAATACATTTATTTATTTGTTCAGATATTGTCTCTGAGCTTTGAAAGAAATTAAAAAGAACGAACTCCTTTGTATTCTTGGTACTTACCTTATTCTGTAGCGTTCGTTAAATAATACACAGAACCAAGGTTCATAATGATTAATCTAAATAAGTATATGAAGATAACTAGTTGTGTCATAACATTTTTTTAGATAAAAAGATCTCATTCTTATATAAATAATAGACATTATTTGCCTTCTTCATCTTTACTTATTCGATCAGAAAATTCACACAATTACTGTTTTATTATCATACTACACACAAAATGGAAGCAATGTGTACAATCAAGAAAGATGAATCGCCTGAAACGCCAATAATCTCTCATAGTCGTGAATTAAGGAGATCTATGGTACAAAATTATTTACTCATCTGGTTAGATGAGAATATAGACGAAACAAACAAAGATTACGAAAATACTTTGATGCAAATACGAACTATTACCGACGATATCAATGTCTTTAAACAGCGAGACGAATGTATTGACTTTCTTAGTAATGCTCAAGACATCAAGTCTTTTCTTGTTGTCGAGCGCACTCTGGCTCAACAAATAATGCCTTTCATCTATGATATTCCTCAACTGGATAGTGTTTATATCGTCGGTAACACTATATCTCTACATGAAAAATGGACAAAACAATGGAACAAAATCAAGAGTGTTCACATCAATATCAATAATCTATGTGAAGCATTACGATTGAGTATCAAGCAACGCAATCAGGATTCAATCGCCCTCAGTTATGTCACGACGGATAACTTGACGTCAACAGATAATTTAAATCAGTTGGAGCCTACATTTATGTATACTCAGATATTTAAGGATATCATTCTTGATATGGAGCATGGTGAACAGGCTACCAGAGAATTTATTACTTACTGTCGACGTAATAACTGTGTGTCAGCAAGGAATATTGACCGTTTCGAGAAAGAATACCAAGCTCAATTAGCTATTTGGTGGTATACTTTCCCGTCCAATATCTATTCTATGCTCAATTATGGTCTTCGAACATTGAATGCCGATATAATTATTACTATGGGGTTTTTTATGTCTCATCTGCATCAACAAATTCAACAACTCTTCGAGGAACAGGCCAGCACTTATGGTTCAGAAACTTTTATAGTTTATCGTGGACAAGGCTTCATGAAATCAGACTTCAAAAAGCTTCAGAAAACAAAAGGTGGATTAATGTCATTTAACAATTTTTTGTCAACGAGTAAAGATAAAGATATGTCCCTCGGTTTTGCTCAAGGTGCATTAGAAAATGAAGATATGGTGGGCATTCTATTCATAATCTCCATTGATCCTTGTGTTAACTCAGTACCATTTGCCTTCATCAAGGAGGTGAGTTATTATAAGGAGGAAGATGAAATTCTCTTCTCGATGCACACCGTCTTTCGAGTGGGTGCAATTAAACAAATCGGCAATAACAATCAACTCTATCAAGTTGAATTACAATTAACATCGGATGACGACCAACAACTGCGACTACTTACTGATCGGATACGAGAAGAAGCTAGTAGTAGTACTGGATGGCTAAGATTGGGCAAATTATTGCTAAAAATTGGTCAGTTCAATAAGGCTGAGGAACCTTACTCCGTTTTACTTGAACAGACATCGGATGAAGGTGAAAAAGCGCTTTATTATCATCAGCTAGGATATGTCCATTCGGATAAAGGTAACTATGAAAAGGCTATTTGGTATTACGAACAAGGCTTTGAAATCTGGCAAAAAATTTTACCTTCAAATCATCCTGATTTGGCTACTTCATACAACAATGTCGCTTCGGTGTATATCAACATGGGAGAGTATTCGAAAGCAATTTCATTGTTTGAACAAGCACTTGAAATCGATAAAATCTCTCTTCCTTCAAATCATCCCGATTTGGCTACTTCATACAACAACATCGCTTTGGCGTATAACAACAAAGGAGAGCACTTGAAAGCGCTCTCATTTTACGAAAAAGCACTTGAAATCGATCAGATAACTCTTCCTTCAAATCATCCTTCACTGGCTACCTCATACAACAACATCGGCAATGTGTATAATCAGATGGGAGAGTATGAAAAAGCTCTTTCATTTTACGAAAAAGCACTTGAGATTTGGCAGAAAACTCTCCCTTCGAATCATTCTTCATTGGCTACTTCATATAACAACATCGGTTTGGCGTATTACAACATTGGAGAGTACTCGAATGCAGTTTCATTGTTCGAACAATCTCTTCAAATCGAACAAAAATCACTTCCTTCGGATCATCCCGATTTAGCTATTTCATACAACAACATCGCTTTGGCGTATAACAACAAGGGAGAGTACTCGGAAGCGCTCTCATTTCATGAAAAAGCACTTGAAATTTATCAAAAAGCTCTTCCTGCAAATCATCCTTTATTAGCCACTTCATACAACAACATCGGTTTGGTGTATTACAATATGAGAGACTATTCGAACGCACTTTCATTTTACGAAAAAGCACTTGAAACATATCAACAGACTTTTTCTACGAATCATTCTTCATTGGCTACTTCATACAACAACATTGGTAACGTGTATAATAAGATGGAAAAGTACTCAAAAGCACTTTCGCTTTTCGAACAAGCGCTCGTGATCTATCAAAAAACTCTTCCTTTAAATCATCCTCATTTGGCTACCTCATACAACAACATTGGTAATGTGTATTACAATATGAAAGACTATTCAAAAGCACTTTCATTTTACGAACAAGCATTTGAAATTCGACAAAAAACCCTTCCTTTAAATTATGCTAATTTGGCTACTTCATACAATAATATCGGTTTAGTGTATGACAGCATAGGAGAGTACTCAAAAGCACTTACATATTTAGAGCATGCTCTAGACATTATACAAGATGTATTAACTCCAACTCATCTTGATATAAAAAGTGTGAAAGAGATTATCGAAATGGTAAAAAATAAATTATAAAGAATATTTGATAAATAAAATAAAGGAATATTTTGTTCACTTATTTTTAAATTAATTCTATTTTCCGATAGCTTACGCACTCGCACAGAAAACAACTGTGTAAATAATTAAAACGTAATGAGTATACATACGTATGTGTACACTCTAAATAAAATAGGGTGTGGGTGTGAGGTAAACGTGACACACTCACACCCACACCCACCTTCACGATGGTAAGGTAAAAAATACGTATCAATAGATATATATTGTAGAAAAAGATCTTTACGATATATAGTTATTGTGTCTGAACAAGATAGAATTTTTTTGTGTTGGGTAAGACAAAGAACTGCATTTATTCAATACTATGAATGATTTTTTTTGTTCCAATTAAAAGAACAACTCATATATATTGGATATATAAACGAAAGATAGAAAAATGAATGATTCATATAGTTATTAGCATACCGTGGAACAGATCAGTATGTTAACATGAATAGAAAACACTTCTCAACTCAACACAACTCAATTGAATGAAATGAACTGAATATATATATGCCGTATCGTAGTTAGTGTGTTTGCCGAAGTTGCTACTTCGTGTTCTCTTCTTTCAAGATATTGCTTTAGTTTCACACTCATAATTATCGCAACAGTTTGTTGATAACAATCCTATATGAAGTCTATTGTTCGATGAATCGTTCTTAAGTTTCATAACTTCTGCGTTGAATTGCGTTTTCCATTGACGATTATTATTTGAACTTGTTACCAAGGACGATGATGTTGATCAGCCATCGTATTGATCAAATATCGGTGGTGAATTGTAAGTGAACAGAAAATATGTATTTTATTCAAATAAAATCATAGACTATATATACAAAACCGGATTACAGATCGTTGAAAAATATCCACCGAGTTATCGAGGTACAGCGGTTGGGATAAATCCCAAAAATCGTAATACGTAGTATGTATCAGATGCGATAAGATGACATATAGAAAAATTAAGAAAAAATCCAAACGTATATGTCATGTTAAAGAAACCAATAAAACAGAACGAAAGGAAAATACATATATGAAGAGCACAATCAGTAGATACTGTAGTTACACTCTTGTAAAATGAACTTCGACGATACATCATGTCGAAGTTGCAGCTTTGTTGATAGTTGAATCTGTCGAACTACTTCGGGAAACAAACACATGAACTTCGATACGACATATATACTTTCATCACCATTTCTTGAAACACTTACGCCTTTTTTACAAACTGAGTTTATCAAACATACTTTTTGTACGAATTTCTGTAAGTATTGAAGATCAATCATTTGTTTTCCTCATTAAGACTAGAACCATTTGTTGCAAAAAAAAATGAATCAGTAAGTTTTGTTTATTAGAATGGAAAACCAAAGAATTAATTATTATTATAATTCATTTTACATAGAGTTCTATTTGGTCTCTGTGAATTTGAATAGAATAAATCAAAACAAAATATTACCAATTTGACTTCAAAGTTTGAAATTCAAACATCAATATCAGTTTTTGTGATGCTTTCCACAAATGAACTAAATTACACACATTAAAAATTCGGGAAAGACTATTATCACACAAAATGACAAATTTGATGCGTACACAGACACGATAAAGAAAACTCGCGAAGGACAACACAAAATTTCTTCAAACGTTTGACAAGGATTCAAAATATTTCTACCATTCACCCTTGGATTGATCTAAGTGGAATGATAACTCGTCTTATGTATATAGATTAAGACTTCATATTCACTGTTATATTTCTATTGTTTTATAAATATATGATCAAGCAAAACTTAACAAACTGCCTCAATGAGTCTGAAAGAAATAAGAAACTGTTTCATATGTTTATGTAATGAAAAAAAAAGAATACTCCGAAAATTGATTTAAGTGCAAACAAGAAATTTTTTTTATGTGTCTTCACAGATTTTGTTAAGTAAACTTTTATTTTTTCGATTTCATCTAATCTTCAACTGTAGTTATACAAAAAAACAAATTTATTCGGTTTCCAGGACACAATTCAATATTTAAAAATTTATACATATCAGTTCTATATTTATATATAATATTGTCCAAAATATTTTTGGTAGCTATATGAACGACCTTGATAACTTTCACAACATAGTATTACGCATTTATTCTAATGAATTATTCAGTATGTTACATCACAAACGATGAATGTCGTTAACAGTGCAGTTTTTGCACTTAGTCAATAAATCTAAACAAACTATTTCTTTTTTTTTCTTTTTCGTTCTATATATTTCAATAATGAAATAAAGTAATATTTTATAAAACAATAACAGTTCATCTGTGCGCATAGAAACCGATTGTTATTTGTTCTTTCTTTTTCTGTTTGTTCTCATACAATCATTTTATCGACCGGAACAACGTAGAAATAAGGAGAAACTCTTAACGGAGGAGAGAGAAAAGCGTGTGCCTATACATTACATAAAATATATATATAGTGAAAAAAATTCTCTCTTTTTTTTATATTTCGCTGTTCGTCGTTATAGTTTACTTGCTTACTCAAATCACTTTTTCACTTTCTTTTTTCACTCTTCTTCAGCATCGTCTCGTCGTCGAGCAAGAAAATATTGAAAAAGTTTCAACTAATATATACTCTTAACAACAGCTGTTTTGATTTGTCCGTGACAATTAGAACATGGCTGAAGAACTTGAATTGAACGATCCACGAATTTATTTCGTTGCCGATTATGTACTCAAAACTCTTAAACTTAAATCGGATAAATTTGGTAAAATGTATAATGTCGAAGAAAATAAAATATTAATACATGAATTCTTTGATAAACCTGAAATACCAATGCTTGTTATTCAATATACAACATCTGGTACACTTCAACCAACGACAGCATTTCCAAACGTCGTCAAAAATAAAACATGTTATTTTATAAAAAAACGTCGTGAAGCAGTTCCAAAAGATGCAATCATACGAGACGTTATTATGTATGGTGATTTATCAACATCACCAGTAGAACAATTATCAGCAATGATTGATGAAGTATAGTTATTTTTTGTTAATTTATTATTTTATAAACACTTTTTTTTTTAATTAGTTATTAATTCCAATCCTCCAAAATCCATCGAATAATGAAGCATGGCCAAAAGTACTTTCTCAAGATATTCTTCGTCATGCAATGGGAATTAAAAATAAAGTACACGTTTTAAATGGACAAATGAAAGGTTTGTTGATTTTTATTTATTTATTTATTGGTTGCTAAGCAACAAACATATGAAATGTAACTAATGCCAAGAGGCATAGTTGGTTACTTAGCAACAATAATATATCATTTCATATTAATTTCAATTTAATTTTTTAGGAAAAACACTTTTACCAGTTCCTGCTGGTGCTGAACGTGTAACTGATGATACATCGAATGAACATCAAGAAAATGGACAAGCTACTACAGTTGATAGTAATTTATTACATGCAATTGAATCTGTTGTTATTGAATGGACACATCAAGTTCAAGATGTATTAAAAAAAGATTCATCACAAGCAATTCTTGATGGTGGTAATCCATTACCAAGTGTTGAAGTCGAATTTTGGAAAGCACGATATAACAATTTACTCAATATTCATGAACAAGTAAATTTTCAAAAAAAATAAATTTTTGTTTTTTTGAAAATTTGTTTTTTTTCGTAGTTAAATGATCCACGAGTAAAACGAATGGCTGAATTATTACGAAAAACTAAATCAAGTTATCATCAATCATTTGAAGCTTTATTAAATGATGTTAATGAATCATTAGATGAATCGAAAGACATTGATCTTTATCTTAAACCAGTTGCACAACATTTTGATGGTGTTGAAACAACTGATTTCGGTGAAACTGTACCACTTTATGGACCGATGTTTCATACACTTTGTCTTATGTGGGCAAATTGTAAAGCATATCAACGACCAACACGTATTATTGTTTTATTACAAGAATTAAACAATCTTGTTATGAAACAAGTATGAAATTTAACGAAAAAAACAAAATAAGAATATTTTTTATTTTAATTTTAGGCATCGGAATTTATGGAACCACTTGATTTATTCAAAGGTGAACCAGATGAATCCATGGAAAAAATTAATCAAACAGTACGTGCACTTGAAGCATATCAAAATGCATATACACATTATAAAGGAAATATGAAAAATTATTTTAAAAATGGTGAACCAGTTCAAGAATGGGATTTCTCACCAAAATTAGTTTTTGCTAGATGGGATATGTTTATGGAACGTGTACGAATTATTCAAGATTTATTTTCAACAGCAAGTGAATTTCTTCGTTTAGAAAAAGTTGAAGTCGGAGGAGTCAAAGGCAAAACACTTACGTCATTGACTTTTACTATTTTTGAACAATTCAAAGATGAATTCGAAACAATGAGTAATAAAAAATATGATCCATTAGATCCATCTTCAAATGTATGTTTTATTTATTTAATATATAAAAACTATAATCTATATTATTTAAGGAATTTCTTGATGATATTGTACAATTTAAACAATTTCTTCGAGATATGGAACTTAAATTAGCTGCTATTATTAATCAAGCATTTGATGATTCAAATTGTCTAAGTAGTCAATTTAAACTTGTTTCAATGTTTGCTCCAATGTTAGAACGACCAATTATTTTCGAAGCGTTCTCTCGAAATTATGATCGTTTAACAGCATCTGTTGAAAATGAAATCGATGCTGCTCATGAAGTCTATGAAAAACAAATGGCTCATAAACGAGAATTCGGAAGAATTGAATTACATCGAAATCAACCACCCATTGCAGGATCATTAGAATGGGTTGATGAAATGAAAGATCGTATCAATGAACCTATGGATGCATTTGTAAAACTTGATTATCCGTAAATATTCTTAATACTAAAAAACTATAAATTTATAATTTATTTATTTTTTATAGAGCTAAAGAAACTTATGAAGGAAAACGTGCTATTGCAAAACATGCAGAATTACTTGGATTACTTGATGCATTTGCTAAAACT